GATGAGACAAAGTTAAGAGTTAGAAGTCAGCACGCTCTGGAAAGATGATTAAGATACCCTTGAATACAAATAAAATTAATTCATTAACTACCATTACCAGGAGAACTACGTTTGAATCTCCCAAAAAAGCTCACTCTGCTCGGTGATCTCGCAAGCGACTTTGTCTTTAACCCCTCCCCCGACTCGAGTCCTTTCCCCTTTCTAAGTTTCAACGACAGTAATGGCCCCACCATCTCCTTCATCGATCTTCTCGTCTCCTCACTCTCATCCCGCTGCGTCCAATCATGTCTATCATTCTTCTCCCTCTTCACCTCCTTCACTTCCTTCTCCTCCTTTTCTTCCCACGACAAATAATCCCCCATGCTCATGGGTCGCATGACGGCGCGACTTTTATGCACAACAGGGACATCCGAATTGAACGTTCTCCGCGGACATCGATACACATCTCTCTCGGCATCCAATTCCGCCGCGCGCTCCAGCGCCGCCGTCCATTGATACTGATTTCGATTTCTCAATTTCGTCTTGTCGACCATGGCATGATCGTAAATTTGCGTTTTCTGTAAAAGCGTGCCGGGTTTCTGATACACGTATCCGGAGCCGCAGCCTCCGAGTCCGTCGCCCCCTTCGTCAATGGTCATGTAGCCTAGACTTTTGAGCGCGGGCTGGGAGAGTTTATGCACGTTGCGGAGTTTTTCGGCAGTGACGGTGTGTTCGAAGGAGAGGACGGCGACTTGAGGGGTGTGGTGGTAGGAGTCTGTGGATGTGGATGTGGAGGAGCGGGCTGAGCGACGGTGGTCGGCGAGGGCTTTTTGTTGGGCGAGATGGGCTCTGAGGCGGCGGGAGAGGTCATCGGGGTCGAGGGGTGCGCCTTTTTTGGAGCGGGTCCGGGGAGCGGGGAGGGGACAGTGGTGGGATTGGGTGCGTGGGGGTAAGTCATTGTTCTGTAGGGTTTGGATTTCTGAGATGTTATTAGATTTGGTGTAATGTGTCGTTTGAGGTTGTACTCAAAAGATGGATATGACTTACCCAACACACTTCTTCATAAGTAGAAATAGGTTCTTCGGCGATTGACGTATCCATTTTGAATCCTGACTTTGTTCTCTATATAGACAATATCACTTCTTGTGCTTCTTCAAACTGAGACACTTCTCGATTCGAACGGTCGCAAGTGTCTGTGTCAGTGATACCTCTCACAAGACCACAACGGAAGGCTTCGAGCAGATCGGAACACAGCGCGTAGCCGGAAGAAGTATTCAAGCTGGAAATTACGGTGTACAAAAACTGTTGCCAAAGAGTCAAGCAGGTAGTAGCGTAAACTCTGTAGCGTGGTGAGACCCTGAAAGTGACGCGAGTGGGGTAGCGCGAATCCAGATTGAGGATGAGGTGTGTGGGGAGAAGGTTTTGCGAAGATGGGGGTCGGGGGAGATGTAAGATTAGATTGTTTGTGAGCCGGAGATGAAGGCTTGTGTAAACAAGATGAAGTTGTGGAGGCTCGAGACTTTGAGCTTGAAACCTGGTGGCTCAATTGAGGATGGTTTGGATGGGAGGTTGTGAAATCTGAGGCGTCAAAATGATGCCAGGAGAGTCAGGAACTTTGCCTGGCAGGGTATTTCTAGACGATGGATCTAACACAAGTGTAACGCTACAGAATGTATGGTAGAACGAAGAGCAAGTAGGAAATAAAGCAAAGCAAAGCACATCAGAAGAATGAGAATGAGAATGAGGAGATCTATATATCTATACTTAGATAACACTACCCACTTACACGTACATGATATTGACACCATCCACCAAGAATTTCAAGTCATTTCTCTGAAATCATGCGAAATATCGATGTCTGTTTTAAGTTGAAATCAATAAAGCAAGGGACCGTCCACGGACTTGTGATGATAATTGAAGAACCATCTATTGTTATTCACATGCTAGCTTTTCCTTACACTCGTTCAGAAACAGGCATAGAGCTAGGACGATCTATCGACTTTCAAGTAAGAAGGGTAATGGAAGGTTGTGGCAGCATTCGATGAAAATTTTGGATTGGTTAAGGCTTTTGTCTAACGGGTACACTTAGATACCATAGAGTTAATGCTTAATGGCGCTATGGTCTCGTAGCGCGATAATTTAACAGATAACAAGTAGGTTGAGCCCACTTAGGTCTAAGATGAAAAAAAAAACTTCCAAAAAATAGCCTTAACTTTCGTAATGCAATATTCTCATCTCTTCGACAAGATCATACGTAAAAGTTGTACACCATTGACGATCTCATACATCTAGTCCTCGCCATTGATATAGATAGGAGAAAAGGGTATATTTGAACTAGATTTGAACGGCCGTTGGCAACGGAACGATAGACCAATCGATAGGTACAGTAGTATAATATTGCGGTGGTAGAAATACAGTTATCATGCGGGGAAACCTTGTTCGAGATCTGCAGTTTTCGATCAGACCAAATCTTACCCAGCCCACTGCCCAGTAAGTAGTTCAGTCTTCAGTGTGCCAGCGTCCACTCGCATATGAAAAGCGGTCACAGGTCAATTGCTTCCTCTTACTCTTATTAGTATCAACAGGAGTCACTTGATAGTACGTGAGATGTTGCAAACTTTTGCTCCGTTTTCCGCCGTAAGCACAGTAATTCACACACGCCCACCTTTGAGCACTCCAACTTCATCTCTTTTCGGAGGGATACACACCAACCATTCTGGATCGAGAGAAATTGTATCCGTGCAATGAGGTTATACTGAAGTCAAATGGGATCATGTGGTTCTGTGGCTAGTTGTGGCGGCAAAGCTATTGACACACACACACACGGGCACACTACATGGTACCTAGGTAGCTGATATGAATTATTTGTTCTGTGCGTGTTAAGGTTAAGGTTCACAAAGTGACAAGATTGACATGTCAGGATGGAGATTTCCAGAGAAGGATTGTTATTGTTGTCAAGTAAGTTGAGATTTGGAAGAGCAGCTGAGCTGAGATGCATTGAAAACGGATGATGCTGCTGCATAAATGTGTCAGTGTCCACGGATATATCCAATCGTATGATACTGTGTTATCATCTCGAGCGTTGAGCTACCTAGGTAGGTATACAGCAATGGGAAAAAAAAAGTGACTTCCGCCCGTGTTCACGCCCCAACATTCCTCCCGAGATGGATCGAGCGACTACTGCATGTTGTCGTGATAATGTGACATGGATTTGTAGTGTGCATTAGTACTTTATGTAAAAAGTGACGATTAGGGGTACCCTTTCAGCCTTGTGATGTGACATACTATAATGGTGAAATGAAGGGGGAAAGAAGGTAAGAGGTAAGGAAGGGAAAATATTGAGAACCACAACGTATCGTCAGCTATGCGCGGAGAGTATGTCTGTCTGTATGTGGATGTATGTCTGTCTGTATGTGTGTGTATATATGTGTGTGTATATATGTGTGTATGTATGTGTGTATATATGTGTGTGTGTATGTATGTATGTGTGTATATATATATATATATATATAGCAAAACTGTAAAAAAAAGATGATTGTAGATGGGCGAAAGAATAACATATCAATAGTGGTAATGATGTTGTTGTCTCTCATTGACGATAGTCTGTGATTAACTGTCGAGGTAGATATTCAGATTCTTATCAACACTTTAAACTGGAGAGTCTCAATTCAAATTACTGCTCACTGCTTCTAGCTCTCAGCAAGTAAAATGGTGATTGAGTTGTGATTTTCTTGCTTGAACATAAATATGTTTGTATGTTGGCTCCATTAGATCATGCCAGAGCCTCACGTGTATCCGTGTGGCCAATCTGGTCAGAAGGGTTACTTATGATTGACGGAATTCAAATGCTGAAGGATACCCGGAGGGAAGAGGGGGCGGGGGAAAGAAAGGGATGAAGGAAGAGAGGGAAAGAAAGGGATGAAGGAAGAGAGGGAAAGAAAAGAAGCAGGAGAAGGAAAGAAAGGAAAGAAAAGGAAAGAAGAGGAAACGTAAGAGACGAATAGATGGACGGATAAATAACATAAACAATACCTCCTCTATCAAAAGATATCACCATCGTCGGGTGGAAGTCAAACAGCCTACCTGTTCATTCTTGGTCTCAATAGCTGGATCATTCATACAAATAAACCCGCCACGCATACAAGCATTTCAATCTTAACACGACGGTTGATTCGCCATCAATCAAGAAATGAGATTGATATTATCCAAATGAAAATCGATTGATCCAACCATTTCCAATAGAGCCCTGGAGTTCATCCCATGTATCTTGTTGTTCTTCAATTTACCCCAATTTTCTAAAGTTCCAGAGGATTCATTCATACATGTTACCTGGGTATCTATGGAAAACATCCTCACACCCCAGATTTTACCGCATCTTAGCACACCTACTAATTACTTCTCATTACACCATCATTACTCCGTACAGGATAGTACGAGCAAGAGAGCGCGCGCGCGAGAGAGAGACAGATTCTAGACCCAGGTACTTTGGGTACTGTGGGATATTACCTGAGACTTGAGCAAAAGCGGTTCGAGTTTGATATTCGCCCATCAAACTCGACACATATTCATTGCTCTTGGAAAGACTTTACTTATAAAACAAATTTCGAAATAGTCAAACAGACGAATATCCAAACGTCCGAACATCCAATCATCCAGACATCCAATCATCCAATCATCCAAACACCAAAATAATCATGTTCTGGCATTTAATACCATAAAATCAAATTAGAAAATCCTTGATCCTCCCTTGATCCCCACAGCATGTAACAAACCGCAAAATCAACATTGCTGCCACTTACCGACAAACCTTGACAGGGAAAAGGTCTCAAACCCTCTCAATCTTGTGCTACGGAGTTACCCAAGGAAAGGGATTAAGGGTTTGATTATTATTAAATTACTGCACAGTTTCTTGGGTCCGGAAAGATACGATACGATTCGATTCGATACAGATACACGGGGAACGACGGGTACTTACTGCACCACACCCAGCAGCACACTAAGATATATTTCTAATACCCACCATGGATCAAATTGGTGCAGGTGGTTTCCCAGCGCGCACTACTTCAAAAAGATCCAAATCCTCAACTCCTTTGCGAACGGATTCACGACGATTTCCGCGTAGCTCTCGAACTTTATCTGTTTCCCCTCCATCTGTCGGCGCTTCTGAAACTTTTGGTCTGCGTTCACGTCCTGGATTGGGCCCGCGAACGTCCTCGGCACCATTTGTCCCTCTTAGTAGCGGTGGTAATAATGGTAGTATAGATCCGCCGAGATTTTCGACTACGATAGAGGACGATACAGAAGAAGCATTGGACCTTCATGCGCGAAGTTATCGAGATTCTGTCGCATCCATCAAAGACGATCCTTTCTTCAGAAATTATCAATCACCACATTCGGTCTCTTTAGCAAGAGAATTGAGGTCTGTAACATACTCTGATCGATCGCACGATGACGACGTACTCAAAAATCCACCGCCGCGATCCAACAAAAGACCTTCCGTAGAAAATTCAGCCAGTCCAATACCAGTATGTGATACTCAATCTACACTGACTCCCTCCTGCGAAACTCTTTGAACCAATTGACTAACTGGTTTCTTCTTCTTCTATTCAGCCTCAATCTAGGAGCGGAATGTCAGACATAAATATTGCAGTGATTGGGAGTAATGGTGTGGGAAAGAGCACTTTGATACAGCGAGCATTGGGTTTACGATCATTGCCAACTTCCGTCACATCGAGTCTTCGCATGACAGTTGATGAGGTGGGATACATAGTCAGTCTGTTTGAGCTGGATCTCGAATCGTTTGATATAATACCTGATCGTCGCATACAATGGCCAAAACAAATAAACGGACATATCGTCCCACGAATGGATGGTGCACTATTACTATACGATGTCATGAATCGGGAGAGTATTGCAGAATTACCCCAGACTTTAAGTGAGTTCAGTCCCCGCAGTGAAGCCGGCTTGGGAGAAAAACTGATTGTTTCAAGATGCATTGGTGAATTCGGGTCTTCCTACCATCCTCGTCTCATGTAAATGCGACAACCCTGAACACACTCGTCAACTTAATGTCGATAGCCTCGAAACAGCATGTATGTCATGTGTAGAATCTGTCAAAACTGCAGCAAATGTTCCTGAAAGTGCAAGACTTTGTCTTTCTTCTATGCTTCGAGCCGTTATGGCAAATCGAAGCAATAATCACAATAGTAAGTCAATGGTAATTTTACAGCAATCTATATGTGGTGTGGCACCCTTAATTATACTTTGCTGTTTGAGTCATCTCGCATCGTTTGAACAATCCTAGTCAAACTGTTTACATTAAAAGTCCTCTGCTATCCGGTGTTAGTGTACCGGGTCAAACGTTGATGTTCACTGTTCCTCCTCGTGAGAATCCTTACTCATCAAATATTCAGAAGATATTCCTTCAATACAACCTCAAGGTACTCGCCGTCGAGCAACCTCCTCTGCCAATATTGAGAAGTTATCCGAACCCACCGTTCCTCGACCTTTGAGTCAGCAATCTAAGCATAGTCGTGCTAGTTCAGAATTTTCTATCGGCCGAGCTCTTCCTTCCCCGCCATTGGCTGGTCGATCTAACGGCCGAACAAATTTGTCACACCAAATCATGCTTCCTGACCCACATGACGCTCCCCCTCTTTCTGCTCATCCAGCTTTCCGAAGTGAAAATCACCTGGACAATTCCGGCGCTAGCCCCAGGTTACCCCTAGGACCAAAGGTACATTCAGCCCTCTCACCTAGCACAACTGGAATCATTGACACTAACATCTCATCCGACGTTGAGGAATTGGATTCAGACTCTTCATACCGATACTCCGATGACATACCACTTCTCCAGCGTAGTGACGATACTTTCTTCGACAAACCTGCTAAAGTGGCCGGCGTCACTTTTGATGATCTTGTCGATCGACTCCTTGGGCAACACATGACAAAAGCCGACGTCAACTTCTCGGAAATCTTTCTCTGTCTTTACAGGAAATTTGCAGCTCCTGGTGAACTCTTCGATGCAATATTGAACAGATTAACTCGTTTGGGAGAGGACAAAAATATCCATTATTTAACACGAACAACAACTCAGCTTCGGATAATTAGCGTGGTAGCTAAATGGGTATCGGGATATCCGGGTGACTTTGCAAGTCTCTCAACAAGCCGAAAGCTAGATGGGTTCATAAACCAATTAGCTTCGGATCCGGTCTTTGCTGCCGCCGCGCAGGAGATGCGGACTCAACTACAATCTCGTGTAGTGGAGGATGACGATACAGGCTGGGCTAGGACAGATGCCGATGTTGATAATGAACAAGCTAATGAATCAGCCCCCGTTTCTCCTACGACCACAAGGGCCGATTCCAAAGGAGGGTATGAAACGGATGTGACTACATTAGCACCAGAAGACGACTCTAGTGACATGGAACTAAAAGGGTCTAGGGGGGAATCTCTATTCTCGGCTCGAACGTCTCAACCGGACTTCAGTGCACCTGCGTTTCTTGCGGTCGAAGACTACGAGAAAGAGGCTGCAAAATTGACACCCAAAGGCATCCTACCATTATCTAAAGACAGATATCACATGTTCATGGAAATATCAAATGCCGACCTTGCTGATGAAATGACCAGGATAGACTGGGTTATGTTTTCTTCCATACGTCTTCGGGATTTGGTTCGACATGTTAGCCTCTCACTCAATCAGAAGGAAAAATGTAAAAGTCTTGCCAATGTGAATCGCATGATAAATCATTTCAACCATATTGCAAAATGGGTTGCTAATATGATTCTGATGCGAGATAAAGCCAAACACAGAGCACAGATATTAGAGAAGTTCATGAACATAGCCCTGAGGCTGCGCCAGCTGAATAATTATAATGGTCTTGCAGCTGTTCTTGCAGGAATCAATGGAACCGCTATACATCGCCTTACTCAGACTCGGAACCTGGTTCCTGCAGATGTTCAAAAGCGCTTTGCTCGTCTGGTCCTGTTGATGGGTACACAAAAGAGTCATTTCGCATACCGTTTGGCTTGGGAGAACTCTCCACTGCCTCGTATTCCTTTTATCCCATTGACTCGACGTGATCTTGTCTCGGCTGAGGAAGGAAGTCGAACTTTTGTTGGAGCAAATGGAGAGAGGATCAACTGGAAGAAATTTGAGGTTTTGTCCGAGGTCATCTTACCCATTATGAAGAGTCAAACTGAACCATATCCAAAACTTATCTATAATGATAAGGTGAGGGAACTCATTCTGGATTGTCTCATTCCTACAGATGATGAGGTTCGTATTCTATTCCTTTTAAGCCACCTTCACAACGGCCAATAATAACATGGAAACTAACCCTCAACTAGGATATTTACCAACGAAGTCTCCAAGTAGAGTCGGCATCTGGAGCCGCAGAACCCGTGAAAAAGAAGTTTCCGTGGTTCTCGAAGGATAAATAAAGAGTATATTATTGTTGAACATACATATGGGATAAGGATAAGTGATTTGGGCACCTGCTACATAGGTATTATTGCATTGCGATTTTGGTTCTAGTCCTGCTGGCTGAAAAAGCAAAGAGAGCATTGAGCGTTCGGCGTGTTGTATTTTGGGTTATTTGTTGTTGTTGTTATTTCTAAGGACATACCCCTTCCTTCTTAAATGAAAGTCGAGCAATGAATATGATGTTTTGTCAGATTTCCGGGAGATGAGACGATTTTGCATGGTTGTGAACTTGTGAATGTATTGGAAATGTGGTGAGATGTGAAGAGGTGTGTTTCGATGGATATAGATGTGCATGTTATTCTTGTGGGGAAGACTGCGATGCTTGGGAGCTGCAGATAGGGTAGCACGCAAGCGCGTGGATCGAGACTGAGAGCCTCATTTATCTATATATCGGTTTTGGGGCAGGTTTGTTCGTGGTGAAAATGGTGGGGTTGAGAGCCTAATGGCACAGGAAGATACAATATGCTATGCAGACATGTTGGAACTCTGCCAATGATCCTTTGTAATCACAAGGTTGCGCTGAACACTAACCCGGACTAGCGACCACACAATCCCATTCCAGCATCTTTCAAGGACGAGTGAAAGGGATCAAGGCCCCTCTAAGCTTTGTTAATTAGGCTGCGCGTTTAACGCATCTCGTAATGTACAATTGCAATACGAATGCTGTGTTTCGCAGGACGGAGTGGTGCATTTTTCATGTGGCGCGTATGTCGCACGATTCGTCATGGTAGTTGTGCAAAGATGTGGCAGAAGGCTCGCCATTTTCAAGCACCTCCTTGCGCCTCAATTCGCATCCAGATTCCAGTCTATCGAAAGTACAGGATCCGGATAATTCATCATGAAGTTCTGTAATTGTTTGCCCCGTAGATTTCAGATAAAGATTCGGGCTCGATCGGATGCTCGAGCGCTTGAGTTCATTGAGAATGAAGCTGTTGATGGGCCTTCTCATATGCTTCGATTCTTTGTACCTCCAGATATAGAATCGATGGACTGAAATGGCATTTTCCAAAAATGATAAGTATTTTGCATTGGCATCACCTTCAACAATAATCGAGCTCTGGAACTCTGTTGGCTGGACTCTTCAGGCAACATTAGAATGTCATTTTACACTTGCGTTCATGTCCTTTTCACACGATAATCAAACTGTTGGTTCTTCGTTTGCGAGATGGCGCGGTTCGATTTGGGGATCTGGCAGTATGAATCCTTTAGGAGGATTGAGAATCCCTTTTGAAGAGTTGAAAGACTGTCGATTTCTAGACCATTGGAAATAGGATAGCATGTCAGGCTAGTGAGGGGACTACCCAGCTTCGCGATTCTATTGTGTGGACTGTGAGGCAAATTTTGAAGTGTTCAAGAAGTGCTGTATCACAACTCTCGAGATATCATCAGTGGTGACTTTGTGGGATCTACAGGAGTCACCATTGAACTTTGAAAGCACGGGTCCAGGGTTGGATTCTCAGGTCTTCACGAACAGAGCGGATTAGACTTTTTGATGCCAAGACCGGGGCTCACATCGAGTTACGTAAAGGGCTACCGCCTCCGTATCTGTGACGACCATGACTACCTTGTATTTCCACTTGACAGCAGAATTCTAGAACTAGGTTCTTGGCACGGTGATATTCATCTTTGGGATACTGCAACTGCCTTGGAACGTTTGACACCATCTTTGGAGTCCTCGACGGATGTAGTAGTAGCAATGTCTCAGATGGCCAAATAGCAGCATTCGTTTCGAATGTTAACGCGGGAGATCTCTGGTGTCTTGTCAGAACTCACCATTCTACATAGGTCCATATACAGAATCTAACACATCTTTCTAAATCGTTCTGCGCAATGGCTTGATCATCGATGGCAACATCGTAGTGACTGGCTCTCTTTGCCATATGAAGCGCAAGGTCAGAATGACATGGTGCAAGCAGTTGCATTCTCATCTGATAGTCGAATACTGTATCATGTAATATGCTGTATAAATCTGGACCTACCACCTGGGGTGACACAGAAACAGAACATTCAGTGTGGACTCTGCAGCAGACCTTTGACACAAGGGGCGACGGGAAGAAGCCACTTCTTTCTCAAACCCACAAATACTTTCAAACAAATAAAGGACTTCTGTGGATTGATGCCCTTTCCACAGGTGATGCATCGCCCAAGCGAACCGACTCGAGGATTGCCCTGATCAAGAGCTTCGTTGTGCATGGGACGGGGCTACCAGATGCGAGGGAACAATCCAGCTCCCGTGCGAATATAGTCCGCTCTACTCGAATATCTACGATAATACTCTCGTTGTGTCATGACGCGGCAGGGCCACATGTATGCAACGCACATGATCCTTTACGCCATGGAATTAAGGAATGGGTGAACAGACAAACGAACGAACGAACGAACGAACGAATAGTGTGATGTGCAGTGATTTTCTGGCTGGTATTTGGAAGAATGGGATAAGATCCCCCCCCCCCTTCTCTCTTTTTCTCTCTCCTAGAACAAATTCTAATATTTAGGTTTAGGCACCACATTTTGAATGAAAAATAAAGAATGAAAAATAAAATAGAATAAAAAAGATTTATCAAAATTTCTGAACGTTAAAAAAATATATATATGTATTCTAAACCCAACTTCTCTCTTGATCCCATGTCTCCCTTCTCTCCCTTTCATTTATTCCTCTCTACTCTATCCAGCATGGTGAAAGAAAACACCCCCTCAAACTTCCCCTCTTCTTCTCATCTTCTTCTCATCCCGAGAAAGGAAAATGGTTCGAAAAATGACATGATTATATATTCTTCGATTTTCCCCCTTGATGAATGAACAGATGTTTCTTTTACCAAGCTCGATTCTATATTCTTTTATGAACCGTGTTTTTTGAATTCCAGATATGATAACTCGGACTGTTGGTTCCTCTCTCTCTCTCTCTCGCTATTTTGTGTTACTTTAGTTCGTTGTATAATTTGTAGGAGGTACATGGAAAATGAAACAGATGAGTTAAGAACGTAACATAACATAACGAACGCAAAGGTTGTGTACCCAAAATTGGGGATGTTTGAAATGTGAGTACTATCAATGCGTTATATTCTCATGTAATTCTTTCTTTCCCATTGATCTACCATCTAATCCATTCTCCTCGCCCCTTCTTACAATACACAAACGCTTCGCCCCTCTACAACCCCTCATCGAAAATAAACCACCATTTCCCCCGCTAGCCTCACCCCCACCGCGCTAACCAACTCTGCAATAATCCCCTTTATACTATCCACATCCCCTACACTATCACTCTCCCAGCTCACCAGCTCATGCGTCTCGCGCACACTTTGACTGATGCGGATTTTAACATGATCGAGTGGGGATTTTGTTAGAATGTCTGATTTAGAAAGGAGACCCGGCATAGATGTTTCGAAGATGGGTTTACTATCTGCGTTGTAGAGAGCCGATGAATCTTCGTCCGGTGTGTTGTTTGAATCCGAGTTTTGTCTTGGAGATTCTGAGAGTTCAGAAGCTGTTTGAGTCTCGCTGACATATTTCCTGTCGTCAAATTGTCCCCTCAGATGTTCATCAAAGAGTATCCAATTGTACGTTTCCGGATCTAGAATATATTGAGGACTGTAATCCCCTTTATATCTCATTTTCACACAACTGTGAATGTAGAACCCTGCATACCAATATTGATATCCCTCTTCTTTTGCTAGTGCAATTTCTCGCACTGCGCCTAATTTTCCAAAGCCATGAGAATGTACCGATTCGTGATACATGAAGTAGACTGCGCTGACGCATTTAGGGAGGAGATCTAGGACTCCTACGGCGATCAAATTTCCATCAAGACGGTAACATTGGTGGTAAGAACCTAGATGTTTGGTTTTGCCGTCGATGGTTGTGGTGCTTCGTGGTAAAGGGGAAGAGCAGAGAAAATTTTGGAACCCTCCTTTACTTATCCTGTCAGGAGGTTCATGATGAACAATTCGTTGATAATTTCTAAAAAGAGCGTATTTTTCCTCTGTAAACTCATCTGTTTCCAACGTAACAGTAAAAGCATGTGCTGGTTCTGGTGGTGTCTTGACCTTTTGCTTTTCCCCTTCATGAATTCTTTCCTCGAGATCAAAGTCCGTGTTACGTTTCTTAGCTTGCTCGCGTGATTTGGGATATAATCTTGCTGCTTCTTTTGTATATGTATCTCCGAGGACATACTTGTTGAAACGATTTACGACTTGCCGTTGATCTTTTGTCGCACGAAATTGGTGGGAATCTAGACGGATGGTATACTGTGGACAACATGATTTTCGAAGATCAGGTTTATAGAGAAGGGTACCTGAACGTCTCCATCCTCGATCGAGAAGTCCTTGATAAAATTCTGGTTGGAGTGTTTGGGTTCTGGCGTAGTACGAATAACCTAAAGATAAAAACAGATGAATGAATGACCTCTGCACGTTGTGAAAGCTTGAAGGAAACCTTTGAGCAATGAACTTAGCTATTCAACAATATTGACTATATGAAAGGAAGTAATTTCCTCATTAAAAGAAGCACACGTGATAAAGACATATGGTATTGCCAAGAATACAGATTTGTAGGTAGGTAATGAGAATATGTAACTAACTGCCTGAATCATTGTGACAATATCCACAACTATTGTTACTGTAGCCTAGAAATCGCATGAATCAAGTCAGCAAATCGATAACAATTTTATCATATTGATTTCTTCCGAAAGATACTGAAATCTGCAGTGTCATCTGCTACAATACAAATCCGGTGATGATAATTTAGAATTTCAATGTGAGACCGGGGAAGAGGGATTGTATGATTCCTTTGCAATGATGGTGATGATTGCGGAATGGTAACACTTGTATGACGATAAGTTTTGAATTTCCGGTTCAGCCGTGTTTCTGGGAACTGAATGAACATGATGAACATGATGAACAGGATGAACAGGATGAACAGGATGATGTGGGGTTGTTAAACCACATGAGAGGAGATGGTGATTGTGACCAATAACTACCAAGGTATCTCATCAAATTCCCCGTGATATTTTTGGACTGTATACAATGTAGTACTACTACGCAGCATCTCAGTAGATATGATTCATTCGTATATTTGTACAATATACAGCATGCAGGGGGACAAATACCAAGAAGAAGATGGCATTGGAAGGAAATCTGGTAAGGAAGGAAAGAATATGATGAGAATCCAAAACGAATTACCATCGAGCCATTTACCCACGAGGTCAATTTATTGGCCAATGATGAATACCAGAATCCAAAATGGGATTTCTTTCTGATTCTCTGGTTCTCCAATAACAAACGTTAAAACTTACCAAGGGGCGAGAGAAGCGAGACTGGGGTTTGCATGATGTGGAAACAGCCCAAGGTGACAAGGCCGATATTGGCTGTGAGATGATGGTGATGATGATGGTGCGGTTGTTGTTCTTGTTGTATGGAAACGGACGGGTAGATAATTCGCCGGATTGAAGTGGGAGTGAGTGCAGATGAGAGTGGGAGTGAGAGTGAGAGACAGAGTGAGAGTCGGTAGTGGAATCAGGAGTAGAGTAAAGAGTGGGAGTTGTTAGTTGGGTTTGTGTTGTCAAGCCCGCGCTCAAGAAAAGATCGTGAGAGCTCGAGACTAGAATGGAGTTTGACTTGGTAAGTTAATTATTCCAATAAGTTCCAATCCATATCAATAAAATTGTGTACAACAATCGAACAGTCAAAGCATGAAAAGATAGATTTTTGAGTTGGCGGGGGAATGACATACATTTTTTGATACTCAGATATTGTAATTTGTATGTAGGAGCATGTGGTTCTGCACTCTGTTCTGTACTCTCCGTCGAACCAATTATGAGGATTGGTGAATTTGATATGCTGACTTTGTTTTTGACGGAAAAACAGGTCCGGTGCCGATGCCGATGCTGGTGCTGATGCCGGTATGTATGTATGTATGTACTGTACTGTACTGTACTGGTTGCGGCTGTTGCGGCTCGATCTATCTAGGTGTTGCTTATTCCATGGGCTTGCAGGCAATTCGATGCTAGTAAAGAAAGTAAGTGATCGGTCGGTTGAACGATTGTAGATGAGAATAAGTGAGTACGTTGTATGATACTCAGATGGACAAACAGGGTACAATTTACCCACCTAGGTATCTACAGAGTAGTGTCTAGCGTAGAATTAACAAGGTGTATATTCCCTAGCGATAATCCCTTTTGCCCCTAATCATTGTGGCAGTGATTCCTTTGACGGGTATCAATAGTTTGTACTTTCTAGTCGCCAGCTGGAGAGAAGATCAGGAGACGAGACATACGATCGTTATCGATCACCATACAGACAAGGAAAAGTGCCTCGAAAGTGCCTACCTCCCCAGTTAAGATATTCACCTGCGTGGTGGATGTGATGATACATGTATCAACATTACAACGGCTCGGTAAACCCCCACTCAGTCTTGGAATGAAAGAATAAGCAAATTAGGAATCGTCGTTTGAGATTCCCGAATGATACGATATGTAGTAAAGAGATATATTGCCGGTTAGATACATTGCCGGTTATCGAGATTGAAGCTTTTTGATGCAAATAAGATAGGACAGGACAGGACAGGTTAGAATTCAATGTAGCGATAGGCAGGTTGTACTGGGTGGTTATTGATCTCAAGGTTTATATTGAAACGCCACTCATCATTTACAGCTTCTAGATCGTGCTACCCATTCACACCTGGCTGGAATTCACCGTCACCAAGCTCCATTAGATTCTTTTGCCAAGTTTACGGAGCAGTTGACGCATCCAATTTCCATGCTTAGATAAAACCAGGAGGATATTACAACCGTCTACCTTCTTGCTACCCACGCCTTGGTTTATAATGGTAATGCTATCCAGATAGGTAAGGTAAACTCGAAATATATCAAGGATGATTCATTGTCAAGTTCACACATACATAGTCATACTTCTTGCTGTAATTCTTGCTTCATTCTCAACCACGATCAACCAATGACCTAGGTAGAGATGAACAATTCTCCTTTGAGGTGTTGATCTATTTTAGTTATATATATACACACACACATATATATACATATATACATATAATTAAAAAATCTACAAATGTGACTCCAGTGCCGATATTGGGAAAAAAGGCACGAGACACGGAACTATCTAGGTATATTGTAATATCATATCAAGAACATGTATCCCAAGCAAGCTAGAGGCTAGCCCTTCTTTTCTCCCTCCTGCTCTCTCTTTGACGGTTTGACGGTTTGACCTCTCCTTCTCCGTTTACTCCGAACCTTTTCTTTCATACAAAGTTGGAAATATTTTAAAATTAATTAGGTTAGTGAGAAAAACGAGTGGATGTTTTATTGTTGTAGCAAGCCTTGCCGTAACTCGTACTGTACTTACTTTGCTTTTCTGGACTTTGATTTGAGTAGTGGTAACCCCTTCACATCACATCACCTCACTTCACTTCACTACCTCACCTGCACTTTCAAAATCAGCCAGTACTTTCCAATTGGAGTCCAGTCAGTCATTATTTAGAATTCTTCAAAGAAGACTGACTCTATTCTACACACACACACACACATCCCGTACACATACATACATACACACGCATACACACTCATAAACTTATAACCCCTTTCTCCTTCTTCTTCGTCTTCGTCCTCGTCCTCGCCCTCCTCCTCTTCTTCAAAATTCAAATTGTCTGATACATTTGCAACACATAATGACAATCAATTAAATTGCAATTTGATTCAATATTGTCTCTGAATTCTGACAAGATCCAATCAAATTTTCGATTTGATATTGAAATCTACCTCCCAGCCTACTACAAGATAACATGCACGATTGCGCTTCTTGATCCTTTTTTAAGAAAAAAAAAAAGTTACAGTAGCCTACTCAACTCCCTCCCGCAGCCGAACTTTATCTCAACGAACTCTTAATTATTTGATTTACAACAACGAATTGTGCTTCCTGCACTGTGCATCAGCACCCTACAGGTGAAGCATCACCTTCATCATGGCAACAGGCCTTCCCATGGAATCTCGTACTGGGAGAAATAACCAACGTACGTTTTGCAATTCCTCTATGACATTTGGCGCATTCGTACCTTTTACCTCTTACCTTTGACATTCTCCTACTTCCACATCCGGAATGTTCATAGGCTTACATCCTCCTTTTGGAATACAGGTTATGGCCCAGAAGGAGAAAGACTCGTTGCGGGAGTTGTCCCTTTGAACGAAGCAAAAACTCACGTCCTCCTTATACAATCTACACGTCGGAACGCATGGGTTTTACCCAAAGGTGGATGGGAGACTGATGAAGAATGCATTCAAGCAGCACAACGTGAAGCATGGGAGGAGGCAGGAATAGTTTGTACCGTCGATTATGATTTGGGTCAAATCACCGAAACCAGAACTGCCAAACAAATCTCGAAAAATGCACCCAAAGCACTTTACCAATTCTTCCAAGTCACCGTTACAAGCGAAGAGACAGAATGGCCAGAGAGGCATAAGAGGAATCGAAAGTGGGCGACATATTCAGAGGCAAAACAGGATCTTCAAGAGCGTCCAGAATTATTACAGGCTCTTGAACGTTGTACCATTCAACGGTAGCCTTGGGGGCCCGGTGTTTATTCTCCAACAATTCGCTGTAGTAGAACGGTCGAAGAGACAACGATACACACAGTACACAGTACACGACGATACAGAAAAGATATTCCTTTCCATCCGATCGAGTCGGGACTGAGCAATAATAAGTTTTTGAGATCGGACGTACCGTATACACACCAGTTGCAGTGTTAATTCAACGAGTTATGGATACCGGGTTCCGTTGAAAAAATAAGTAAAAAAGATATTTTGAGGATTTTATTTTTGGGTTGGTTGGTTGGTTTTCTTCAAGAAAATTGCTGCTTTACTCTTCTTTTTTCGTCTGCACTAGATGGCAAAATAAAGTCGGATCTAATGCAGTGTGTTCTCATCACTCACATGTTGTTCTATGGTCATTTTTCTCTATTGAACATCATATATTTACCTACTTTGAGGTTTTTCGACACCTTCATTGTTACATATCTCCCAAAAAGCGCCATGACATATCACATTTTGAGATCTTCATTGAAGTACTTGAGTGCTAACTTGCACTATTCTTGCTATATCTAATGAAGTGGACAGTGTTTATACTAATAACAGTCCATGGAAATTTCTATTAACATTGGGAACAAAAAAAAAACAAAGGGAAAGGAGGAAGGGTTGATTCGAGATCGAATAATATATATATAGAGAAATAAAGAGCAATATCATTACCAACCTTGACTTAGCACTGGAGGAGTAATAGCATCTTGAATGCGGAATTCTAGGGAACAAGTACTTACATTATTGTCATCAAAAATTAGGGAGAGATCATTAGCATTAAGATCCAAGGAGGGATACAGAGATATACAATAGTCAGGACTTTCTGATGTCTTCAAGAGCAATGTCCTTCATAGCATTTCTTCTTTCCCCTTTCCAAAATAACTATGATAGGGAAAGAGCATACACAGGTAGGTACCAGTATCATATTTCATTCAAGTAATAAGTTCGGGGGCTTTCACTTTGCAAGTTTAGATAGGAACAATAAATAGACACCACAACATTCCAAACAAGGCCGTTATTCAATTCATCCTGATATCAAATTGTAAAACCCAGATCCATTTTCCCAAGACGTCTTTTCTTTACCCCAACTTTGACAGTGCGTGCCTATCAACCAATTGGTCACTCTCTATCACCACAACCATTGAATCTTCTACTTCCACTTCATCCAACCAAACTATTCATCTTGTCCACGAACCTCAACTTTTGGAGATTTTTATCGTCCACTCGCGGAATGGATTGGTTGAAACTCTCACTATTACGATAATCGATTTTTTACCTTTAAGATACCGACTAGATGGATCAACAACCGACATATCAAGGCCCAGAAGGAGGGGCTGAGATGCCAGCTCTAGGAGCTGGTATAATACCTCCTCCACCGAATCAGCAACTCCCGGCGCAAATGTTTACGACTGCTGCGCAATTGCTTGACTTGACTGATAGTAAGATTTCCCGATCTGCGAAGCCATGTTGGAAATACTGGTTGTGTTATGGCTACTTGCATGGAGTCTCCTAGTGGTAGATCTATGGCTTGAGAAGATGCACACACAGCCTTTTGACGATAGATACATACATATACTAACCAAAATCTTTTCACTCTACAGAGAAACTTATGATCTCCCTCCGCGATGGCAGGAAACTTATTGGAATACTCCGAAGTTGGGATCAGTTCGGTATATACCCATTTCCTATCATCCAGCCCCATCACATCGTATTACATCACATTACTCACTAAACATTTCACTACAGCAAACATCGTCCTCCAATCTACCGTCGAACGGATATTCATTGCGCCTCCCCCTCCCTCCTCACCTCAAGGTGCAACGCGGCCTGGTCTCTACGCCGATATACCCCGCGGACTGTTTCTCGTGCGCGGCGAGAATGTATTGTTGCTGGGCGAAATAGATTTGGATAAAGATGATGAGGCCCCGCCAGGATATGAGAAAGCGGATGCGGAGGTGGTGCATAAGTTGGATAAGGAGAGGAGGGCGATGGAGGCGAAGAGGGATAAAAATCGTTTGAAGAAGTTGGCAGAATTAGGATTTGAGGGGGAGAATTCGGGAGAGGCCATATTTGGATGAGTTGGGCGAGGGGGAGAGAGGGGGGAATGGGTGGATTAGAGAGGGTTGAGGTAAGGAAGGGGGGGGTATGAGGCAGGTGATAGGGAATGAGTTCGAGATGGAATGGGACAGGAGATCAGAGATGTGGTTACAAAAATCTTAAGGCCGAATATTGTGAAAGGCTAGCTGGCGATTTCTATCAGTCAGTTGTGGTAGATCTATGACAGATTAAACCACAGGAAACATAATTTTTCCTTCTCTCCTAATTGTTTGGCCCTTTTTACGATTTACTTGTGTGAGTATAGCGTTTTTAGAGAAACTAACGAAAGACCTTACACATGAATCACGACGCGTTAGAGAGCAAGGATCTCTTCATCCTAAAAAATGAACTTTAATTTTTGAGCTTTGGACTTTTGGGAGATCTTAAATGCAAATGTCGAACGGAGGATGGGGAGAAGAGTGGAGGATCGAGGATAGAGCAAATCACTAAATCGAAGTCGAAATCGAAATAGGAATAGGTGTATCGGCTGAAGTCTCCCGTTTAATGCATAGAGAGTATGAGAAACTCAATATCCGAAATCGAAGGGAATGGTTAAAGGGTGGAATGATAGATAGATAGATTGGCAGGTAGGTGTGAATGAATGGACGGAGGGACGGGTGGATATATGGATATCCGAAATTCATGATTATGCTCATTCTATACTTTAAAGATTGAACTTGTGTAATTAAAATCATGGTATGTATTAGAGAGTAGAGAATCTAGATTGAGTGGTGATTAGTAGGTATGCTGTTGTATACTTAAGTATACCAGAATTGGCTAGCTAGTCTTCTTGCATACAGTGATTCTTATTGAGAAATTAACCAAGTACCTATAGATCGATCGGTGCCTCTATTGAAATATGAAAAAGTGTTACTTCGGACAATCAAGTGGATGAAGAATTATACGATAAATTCTCCGTTCCCCGTAAGGCGTAAGGCGTGGGAGAAAAGGAAGAATATCGGTACACTAGAAGATTTCAAATGCTTCTCTTTGAAATAACGGTTGTTTGCGATGGTGAATGCATACATTGCATAGCAGATATTTTACTTGAGTTCGGACAGTCCGGTTGGAAAGTTCGTGGTATATGCTGGACTTGACACAAGACTATCTAGATTGGATAGATTGGAAACACGTGCTAATTGACAATTATCCATGAGAGTGGTTTCGCGAACGCGTCATGAATTCGTCGGGTTCTTGGGATTCTCCTATTTTTCCGAATCGCTTACGGATCACGAGATGCTGTGGGTGTCTTGTCTGTTCTGTTCTGTCTATCGATCTATGCATCAATCACATAACATTCTTTCTTCACACGCTGATGATGTGATAATGAATTAGACCATATTTGGAATTTAGAAAACTCTCAACGTTTTTTCTCTCCTTCCTCGCTTTCTAGATTCCTTCTAGACTGTTTTACCTTATCCACCGAGCGCAAATCTTGAGATGAAATTTGTAAATCATGCGCGGGCTGCGCGGGGACAGGGATCCGCACGCTTGGGAATTCATGCACAATAACCGTTTGAGTAATGAATTGGGGGAGAAGGAGGATTGGCATTATGGATGAGAGGGGGGGAGCGAGCAAGTTCCTAGTTATGTGCGTGTCACTTGGGACGGTTTGGGAAGGAGGATGGATGCTCGATGGAAGTTTGTTGGTGGAGGTTGGGTGGGGAGAAAGAGCATGAGGAGGTAATTTCAAAGGGATATGAAGTACTATTGATTTTTGAGGAAAGTTTTGGAAAGTTTGACGCGCTTGGTTTGGAGATGAAATGAGGGACGTTGGGATGGTAGCGGTGGATGCGATGGAGAGTGGTGGATGGAGCGATGACGAAATTGGCTCTTGGGAGTTCTTATGAAGGGAGACGTTCGCACCTTTTTTTCCTATTTCTTTTTCTTCGAAGAGTTGTCTTTAGTAGCTGTCATTAAGAAGATTGTCTTTTCGATACCCAGATACCCAGATTCTATTCACTTCTTCGGACTACGACATCATCTCGAGTCTTTATTACTTTTGCAATCTTCGACAAGAAACAGACAAGCGCACTTCATCCCCATCCTCATAATCACATAATCCCACACACTACACCCGCAGCATTCACGCTCCGGGCCCTCGGAAATCTTTCAAAATCTTTCACTCACACCCCCGTCAGAGACCGCACATAACCTGTCGTCTTCTCTCCATTCGTCCCCGCAGTTCTCGCTCTCGAACAAATTCAAACATGTCTTCTACTCCTACAACCACCGGACCGATCCCGGCTCCCACAAATACTGTTAATCCTCTCCCCACTACACCTGCTGAGGCTGCCGCAGGAGCCGAACCAGCTGCTTCAGGAACAGCATTGGATTTGCACACACAAACGGAAGATGCAGCAAAGGAATACAAGAATGCGCAGAAGGCTGAGAAGGCTTACGCGCAGAAGAAGAAGTGCATGACTGCGAGAAAGGATTGGTATGATTGTAAAGTACATTTTGCAGCTGGAGTGCAGGGGTTTAGAGAGGGAGGCAAATGTGTTGGACGGGTTGTTAAGGCCGGACCGGCTTTGGCAATGGAGAAAGTTAAGGGGGGGAAGGGCCAAGGGGTCAAGACTGTGGATAGTGGTGTCTCGGGGGAGAGTATCATGGTGGAGAAGGAGAATGCTAATAAGAAGAGTGGTAATGGTGGTGTGAAAGCAAAGGTGATGGGGTTGAAAGAGAAACTTTTGGCAATGAAGGAGAAGAGGGCGATGGAGAAACAGGCAAAAGCTGATGAGAAAGCTGCCATCGCCACTCCCACTGCAAGCGGAGCTGTAGCAGCAACACCAGCAGCAGAAGCTACACCTGTTGTTCCCGCTGCTCCCGCTGCTCCCGTCGCTCCTGTCGCAGCAACCCCAGTCCCAAGTCCAACACAGACCAAACAGGAAAAAAAGAGAATGACTCTGGATCAGGTGAGACATCGAATTCTTTCCTACCGTCACTCGCGTTTTTGTTCCACGTCATCGGAAGATGATGACGAAGAGGTGAACGTCGCGCCTCGAATTGCAGGTTGGATGACCTATTTTCTACCCTTTCACTTACTCCTCTTCTCCTTATCTTTACCCTCTCACACATTCGACTTTGCTTTGAGGGTCTTGGATTCGGAGATGGATGGATAAACATTCTGTACGATTTCTAGACAAAGAAGAATAGCATACTGATTGAAGACAATAGAGAATCCAACAAGAAGAAGCCAAAGCGCTCGCGCGTCAGGAAGCGGAAGCCTCCGCGGCAAACGCTTCAGCTACGACAGGAGAAATCCCAGTCGTGGCTCCAATCCAAACTCCAGCGCAACCTCAAGGGCTAACTCCAATCCAAACCACGCAAACATCAACATCGTTGGCGAACCCCCCGCAATTGCCTCCCAAGACACAGTTGAGCCCCCCGGATCCCCAACGAAGGGGACCATGGAGCCGATTCACGAGGACGGGGAGACGGGAGCCCTGCCCTTGGCGAGCGGGATACAGGGGCCGGTGGAAACGCAGAATTCTGGGGTAGTTGGGGGAGGAGCACCGGCAGGACAATAAGCGAAGGGGGAGATGGGGCGGCGAGGGATTGAAAGCCAGAGTGGCGGTTATGGTGCGAGGAAGATTGAGAGGAGGTGATGCGCGCGCGCCTGCTTTTCCATGGTTTACCGCGCACTATGCAGATGAGAGTGAGGATTCGAGCGAGGAGGAAAAGAAAAAAGAGAAGAAAATCAATGCGAAAATGGGAATGAAAACGAAAACGAAAACAGGAACAGCAACAGGAGCAAAAGAATCAACGCGAGCACGAATTATGGGACATTTTTCCAGGACGAAAAAAACTGATGCAGGAATGAATTATAACGAGAAGAGATTTCGCAGACCCGGGAAGTTGGCGACGTTGCGCTTGAGATGGAGTCTGTTTGTGTCGAAAGTGAGGGATAGGGCGAGTGATGCGTTGGGATGGGTTGGGGTGTTGATTATGGATTTCTTGGGGAGGGTGAGTGAAGTGGGAGAGGGAATGAGGAAGAAGATTGGTGGGAAGAAGGGGAAGAAGGAGAAGAAGGTTAGGTTTTCGAGGAGAGCATTTTTCTAAGGGGGTGTGATTGGTGGGGTGGAGGTCATGTGTTGTGGGTTTATGAGTTTTTTGATGGTTTGATGGTTTGATGTTTTCATGATTTTTATGTTTATGTTTATGTTTGTGTTTACGAGTTGTTATAGTTTTGCTTTTCTTTTTTGGATTTTCACGAGTTCTCTTCTTCATCATTCATGTTAATGTTTCATGATTACGAGTACGAGTATGAGTATGGTATTTCGTTTGGTTTGATTTTGGTTCTGATTATTTATCTTTCTTTCTTTTGATATCCATTATTTTGTAGTATTTTAAGTCTTTTTATTTTCGCTTTTTCGAAAGGGTAATTTGGGTAACTTAAATCAATATAGATAGAATTACAGTATAGTTTGTATTTTGATATTACTGGTTTTCTTCCTGATTGTGATTGTGATTGTGATTGTGATTGTAACTGCGTAGATCAAAAGCTTTCCCGGAAGGGAGGAATTGTTTTCATGCAGTAGGTAAATTTGTATGTGAGCATGGGAATGCATTTCGCCATGAGAGTGGAAGATGACATTCTATCTGATGAACTTCCCCCTCTCACACACCATAACACAACTCTCAACCATCTCTTCGACAGCAGCCACCTACAATCCCACCTACAATGGTCCAGATTCCGACCAATGTCAAATGGCTTGATACACATATCATATATTGGGCCACATGGAATTTCCCGACTGCATTCAGGGTCTCACTAGTAAATTGGAGTACATCTTCCTCTTCCTTTCATGACGAATATAATTGAGTGAAATTGTGAAATTATCAATCAAAGGCATCCACATCCGTACAAAACTCTGCACACATCTGCGAAACTAACTATTGTATTTCATCCCAAGACTCGTTGGACTGATATCACACCCCAGCAGCACAGCACAGCAAATGTCATGATATTCTTCCAAATCACTAGCATAGTAAAACAACAAAAATCAAGAAACTCAAGACTACAGATCAATTTCCTCACTTCTCCCCTCCAATTTGCGCATCAAAGATCGATATCTCCCGCCGGTCTCGCAATGTTTGCTCGCCAGTGATGAACATTCACCGGATCCTTCTGATACAAATTCACCTCAAAGAATTTATTGTGAGAGGTGCATTTGAAGTTCTTGTATCTACTTACTCGTCAGTTTGCAATTCATCATTTCCCGTATTATAACATGCATTCTCATTATCACAAGCACTGGTATCGAAACAAGAAATAGCTGGATGATTTACTTACGAGTTCAACTTCTGGTAATTGGCCTGGATCAGATGTTGTTCGGTGATCTCGATGAAGTCTCCTGGGGAGTTTTCATCGGGAATGAAGTAGCGTTTAGATTCAAGAGGACCGTAGTTGACTTGTTGAACAAGTTGGATGGCGTATGGTGTGGTGGGAGTGATGGGATTTGAGTTATCTCCCAAGTCATTGGGAGTTGTGACGGAGGAGGAGCGAGGGTAGTCAGCCCAGGCTTTGAAGCTGGTGAATTTTTGTTGGTGGGTGAGTTGCTGGGGACGAAAGGACTCAGGGGAATTACAGCAGAAGAGAGTGGCCATGACGTAGGCTGAAAGATGGAAGGGTGAATTATAGTTTGATTTGGAGTGGAGGATAGATGCTTCAGCTTGTAGTTCGATGATAGTCAATGTAGTAATGTGAGACAATTGCAGAGCAACTGAAAGGAAATTCGAGGATCTGGATGGGTATATTTATGCAATGAGGACTTTCGCGTTTCACTGGACTCTAAGACACAAAACCATGAGAGATGCGAGTGATTCCTCAGAGGATGAAAGCATCAGATGTCCAATAACCCGAGCATATTGGCCTTGAACAAGCCAAGGCTTGAAAATCTGAGCCTGATCTACACAAGTGAAAAGCCACTTCTTTTCTTGCCAGCAACTTTTCGAGAACCCCGCCTTCGTGGCATGCAACATAGTCGAGTAATCAAGTTTTTGGGTTTGACTGCAGATTTTCATGACAAGCTGTGAGCTTTTTTGCATCTCAGATCCTCTGTCGTCCTCAGTAAGAAGATGATTAATTGGCAGATTCATGAAAATGAGGCCTACAACCAAGGAAACTTGCGTTTGGACTAAGCACCTAGCATAGAAAATATATGCAGCCTCCCAATACTATTTAGACGGCGTCATGATAGCAAATACGATTGGCAGTGCTCATTTGAGGCCACCTATCAGATTCCTCAAGAGCTGTTCTCATCGCCGATAGTTTGCAGAATGATATCCAAATTCGTGTTCTTAATATCGGAAATTCGATATTGTCTGAATTCTCGTTGTTGATTGGAGCATCACAATTTTGAGGCCTACAACCAGGGTATTGTAAATACTGAATGGATATTGGTTGAGCGATCTCGCTTCCAACACGTGCAGACATTTAATGATGATGACTGATTGGCTGTAGTGACATCTCGACCATCATAAGAACCCTCGAATTTCCCACCTTCTTCCTTTCTTTTTCTCTTTTCTCTTCACGGCGCGAGAGGCGGCGCTGTCATTCCTCACTCTTTTTTTTCCTACGCAGTCACTCCTTAGGGTCTTCTTTTTTCATTCATCTTCAGCATTTTCCTACTCTTTGCACTACCTTAACCCTAATTCAGGGGCCTCCGCTACGATCAAGGAGGCCCAAAGCGAATAGAACCTATCTTCTCGGAATACACCGCTGGGAACGAAAACGAACATAATCATCTACCTTGTGAATTTATCAATCCCAGCTTTTTAGACCTCAGGAGACATCCTGTTCCTTCTTCATTCGAATCAAGGGTTACTGTTGATGCTCAGGGAGCAAACAGACAATTTGATGAGAATGAATACCCCTTCGCTGAAGATGACAACCACGGAAATTTCGATCCTCTGCCTTACACTCCCTGCACCACTTTGCTAGATCTGCCTGCGCTAGACGCAGAGGTTCCGCAAACTCTCCAATATGTCGAAGAACCAGGCGGGGCCCAGGTTCAGTACGGTCTTTACCAAGCTCATTCAGTCTCCATCCCTCGCGTGGAGGTTTTCCAACATCATCATCATCATCCTACTGTTCAGATTTTACCTGAACAGCCAGAACCGCAACCAGTTGCTCAACCCTACATTTGCTCTGAATGTCAAGACCAATTCAGACTACCCTGTAAGCTGAAGTGAGTGCCAATCCTCTTGTGAATCCACATTGCATAGTTTGTTGATGCTGATACTCAACCTCAGTGCTCATATGAAATCACATACTCTCCCTTCCAAGTGTCCCATATCCTCATGTAAATCACTCGGGTTCCAGTATCTGAAAGATCTGAAACGCCACATTACAAGCATACATCCCGAGCTCAACCCGAATGCGGAAATATATTTTTGTGATGCGGGAAGCTGCAAGCACTCAAGAACCAAAAGAAAGGGGTTCCCGAGGAAAGATAATTGTGAAAGACACAAGAAGAAATGCAAACATCGGATCCAGCAGATGTGACAAGCAAGTTTGCTGTGTAGTTAGTCAATGGGAGTACTTAAGGTCGCGGTAGAAGCAGAAATATGATATGTTGATGTCAATTACCAATATATTGCCACTTGGTTATTGTGATTGTACAATCAAGACAGAATCCCTAGAACCCGCAAACTGCATTTCTCCAAGCCGCGGAAACAATATCGCCGGGCCTCGTCGTCCTAATATTAGCTAAAATGCCCTAGTCCAGGTATTCAGCTCATTTTCCTCGGCTTTTGCTACTAAGCTCATCATCTTGTTTCCTTTTTCATTTCATCGCCAACCATCATATCATTTGCATTTCCCCTTATCTAACTGTGAGCTGTGAAATCATTTTGCCTATACGCTGAAAGCAAATATACCCCTTCAGTAATCGAAGATTTTATGTAGGAAGACACGCCCAACCATTACCGCCTCAAATTTAGAATCAAACCAGAAGACAGCACACAATATTTCCAGTATGTATTCATCGATCAGCACTAGCCATCTATGTGATGTCAAGAGCATCATGAACCATATCCCATAAACGCTCGAGGCTCACATGTCGGAAAACGCAACACAAGGTTGAGTTCAAAGGAATACCTGTATATTTCCTATGCTGTGCCCTCCAGCCATCACTCAACGACAAGACTATGCACTGCAGATCAATTCATCGACAATACCAACTTTTTCAAGCAGTATTTCTTCTCCTAAGTCCGTGAATAAACTATCTTGGAATGCTGTCGTTTGCACTAGCAGGAGAAATAGGCGTAAAAATGTCAAGATAATGAGGGCTTGATTTAATTTTAGACTTCTATGATGAAATTGGAAAGGAAATCTTGCTTAAAGCATCACCCGACAGATGGCTAGAACAGGAGACAGGTAATTTCTCATCTCATCGTGATCGTTCCAGTCAGATAGATCATAGTTTGCCGATTGTGTCAAACAATAAGCCGAATTCAAAACCGCCAACCTTGGACGCATAATATCCAGAACTCATATAGATAGGGAATCATCATCATCATCATCAGCAATCTTCAGTACATATGCCTAGCCTTTTAATTACCGCCTCTCAACCAAGCACAAACTCCCAAAACAAAAACACAAACCATGGCATCTCCACTAACTGTTCCCCAAATACGTCCATATCTTAAGACCATGCCCACATAACTCTTCCAAGGCTCTGGCAAGAAACCCATCACTGTCCCCATCATACCAGCTGGCATAGAATTTCCCTTCTCCAAATAAAACCTGCTGCTCAACAAGGCCACCTCTGCCGTTGCAAAGATCCAAAAGAAATGCACACTATCCGCGCTTAATCCATCATTCGCCAAACCTGATGCCTCGCGTGCATATTTCGTGCCCGTAAATGACGTCGTAAGTGCTATGTACAGGCCGAGAGATAATGCGAAAACAGCATGAACTATGCGCCAAATATATGCATAAGGATCAACAGCAGCGGCTTGAGCTTGTCCTTCCATCCCCATGCCGGGCATACCTGGCATACCTGGAAAAGAAGGCATGCCAGCTTGTCCTTCGCCCGGTGGTCCACCCATTCCTCCCATCATCTGTTGTAACATTTGCATCATGGGATCGTTTGCGCCGTCTTCGCCAGGTGCGCCTCCCATACCTGGGAAACCTGCGAAAGGATTCTGTCCAGGAGCACCACCCAAAGAGCCTGGATCCATACCCAGCATCATTTGCCTTAATTGATCATCATTTAGTTGCTGTTGTTGCTGTCCACTCTGAGATCTCTGGATCGGCGTGCGAGTCTGCGGCTCATAATAATGATTCGAAATATCTACTTCATCTGGATCCGCATGGTTTGTAGCCTTGGGAGCTGTTTGCGCTGGCGCTGGCGATGGAACCTCCTCTGTAATCACCATTAGCTTTATTCAAAATATAATTCAAAGAGCCATCCAAAATAGCCTCTCAACAGGACAAGTACAAACCTCTAGGTAAACCACCACCCAACCCAATGATCTTATTCAACCTTGCATTTCCCCCGTCTCTAATCTTTGCTTCTCTCTTTTCCTTCCTAATGCGTGCCTGTCTCTGAGATGGCGTTTCTGCTGCTGGCTCAGAAGTATCGGCCATTTTAAAAAATTATTTTGTTGTTGAGAAAATGGAAAGATGATGACTTGGACAGATTTGATGATGTCGTTTATTATTTACGTGGTTGGAAGCTTCCGGAGCTGGGATTTTTTTGGTGGGGGAAAGCTAGAAGGGGTCACCATACATTATTTACCTGTACCTAAGTAGACACTTATTGCACTAGCTTTAACAATGATTTGATCTGCAGTTAAATAGAACTAACGAAATCAACATAATTGTACATCATTGGTATAGTATCGACCAAACTGTACAATGTTTCACGATTATTACAATGGGAATCATTGATTCATTCATAATCCAGAAGACAAGTTGATTGGTATCATGTTCACCACTTCCAGAACAAGACAGACATAATTTTTAGGGTATTCCTTGCCAACTTACATCAATACGCAATTGCAATCATAGGTATTACCCTTAAATCAAAGATAAAAAAGCAGCATTATAAAGAATAAGTTCTTACTCTAGCAATGTTTCTTTACTATACACACATGCTTCGCTCTCATCTTAATCCTCATCCCTTCGTTCCTGATTTTATTTCTCAAAATAAAATGAAGTATTCGCTTCGACTCTAAGGAGTGACTTTGCTCATACTAACTAATCGTTTGACACCGACCTGTATTAATCATTAGTATATGTTACGTTCAAACCCCAAAAAGACAACTATAAAACTTACCATCCAATTGCCACACTCATCAGGCTTTTCACGATGAATGTCGACTTGCATCCTGCTTGCTGTTTCGTAGTCACCAGATTGAAGTGCCTCCGCCAACTGGGTCAATTTCTCGATAGTGTCAGATTTCACAAGTTCCTCATTATTCAGATGATCAAACAAAATGTTGAGGCGCTTCTGAGTGTCTTTCACTTGAGGAGCAAAATTTGCTGGAGCTTTCGAGGCTACTCTTTGCATGTCACTAGTGAATATTTCGACCATTCTCTGAGCAGATTCAGGAATATGTGATCTATCACCAGCAGGGTGCTTAGGTTTTGCTGGAGCAGCTGCAACGGCAGGAGCTCTAGGAGGCCCAGTTGGTGGTCGAGAACCGCCCATTGGAGGGCCTTGCGGTGGCCCTTGTTGAGTTTGAGGAGGACCCTGAGGCGGACCTTGGTTCTGAAACTGTGCAGGTGGAGGCTGGCTTTCATATGGTGATTGAGATGACGCGTACTGGCTAGGTGGTGCAGCTGACGGTGGCGCATATGGGTTAGATGGAGGTGGTCTCATACCTCCCTGAGGAGGTGGAGCGATATTTGATGGAGGTGGTTGGGAGTATTGTTGTGCTGCTGGAGATGGAGCGTATCTGCTTGTAGGTGCAGCCCCGGTAGGTGGGGGATTATATGGAGAAGCTCCACGAGGAATTGTAGGTGGTGGTATCGATGCATATGGTGATTGAGCAGGGGGTGCTTGAGGAGTATATGCATTGGCCGTGGATGATGGTCTGGGAGGTGGTGCAGTCGTCAATGGTGAACTAATACGGGGTGGGGCTGATCCCTTGGGTGGAGGAGGTGGGGGGGTTGCCCTGGAAGCACCATATGGGTTTGCTGGAGGTGGCATTGAAGCACCCTGTTGATTTGGGAATGGATTTGCAACAGGAGTACTTCTTCTAGCAGTAGGAACCTTTGTTACGAAAGGTGTGTCATTCCAGTTTGTCATGTCTTTAGCTTTAGATGCAGGTGGAGCTGATGGAGTTGTGTTTCTCGGAGGAGGGGCTCCAAATGATTGTTGAGGTGCTCCATAACCTGATGGAGCTGCTCCATATGCTCCGTACGAAGGTGCATAAGCAGGCTGAGATGGTTGTGGTGGCTGGTAACCTTGTGGTGCGTAAGCGCTTGCTGCAGGTGCATATGGATTAGAAGCACCTGAAGTGGGTGGCGCATAAGGATTAGAAGCTGGAGCAGTAGCGGCAGGTGGAGCGTATGGATTTGGAGCAGATTGAACTGGGGGTGCCACAGCAGCAGGAATCGGCTGTTGATATGCGGCTGGCTGAGCACGTGCTGGCACTCTTGACGAGACTGCTGGCTGTCTTACGGTAGTGGTAGGGGCAACCTTTCTTGATGCACGCTTGACTCGGTCTCGTGCAACTTCTGCAGCAGGGTACTGAGCTGGAAGAAGATCAAGATATCTTTCAGCAATTGAGAGATGTCCGTGAGCAGCAACAATGTCCGCATACTCTGTATATTTGTCGTACAAAGCCGCCAATTTCCAATCTGATGTCAAACTCTGCTCGGGATCTTGAAATTTGGTGACATTGCGGAATACTGTAACCTTTTCAATAAAGTTTTGGAGTGACTTTGCATGTACGGAGAATGTAGAATCGCCTTCTTGTTCTTCAATGCCATGCTTCTCGTTCTCTTGAAGTTCGGAAATCCAGATGTTGATGACCTTCTCCAACTTTGAACCAACTAAGAAACAGAATGAAGCATCCTTTGCAGTGCCAGATTCCAATAGCCTATCACCAAGTGCTTCACAGAGGTCTGGGAATTGAGCTGGATCGGCATATGTGCATAAAGTTGCCATCGACTCTTTCCAGTTCTCCAAGTCAGCATTGTATACAACATCCCACAAGTTTTTGCCAATGACTGAGCTAAGGAGTCGTAGATAGTTGGGGCCTTCTGCCTTCTTGGCTAGGTAGGCAGTTTGAACTTTATCCAACAACTCTTTTCCACCACAATTGGCAATGATGAATGCATCAGCAATACGATCCTCCTTAAGACAGACAGTCATCGCTTTTTCAAACTGGCCAAGCATCAAAGCTTTGGTAATTTGTTTTTCCGAGGCCGAATCGGACTCAGCAAATAGATGGAAAGGATTGTCCGTCTTGGCTCCCTTATTTGCTGGAATATCCGTCAAAAAGTCATCACCTTCGGCACCATCGAAAAGTGTAGATAATCTATTGTTCTTTCCTGCTTCTCCATTGGCATCAGCTGGCGCTTCTTCCGACTTTTCAGCATCCTCTACGTCAAGTCCTGATACACCATTCGTAATCTCGTCTACATCAGAAAATCCAAGGTATTCGGTGACTTGCTTTCGAGGGTTGGCTGCAATCAATGTCTCAATAACTTTCCAGTCTGCCTTCTCTTCCTCAGTCTTGGCCTGATCAATATGTGTTTCGCAAATGCTCTTAATATCCCCGGCTTTGAGGGCATTTTCGAAAGACTCAGTAGCAGATCCTACGTCTGAATCAACTGTAAATTGAGAAATTTGGATCTTAGAGGATCTAGGCTTTCCTGCTGCAGTGGGTAACAAATTAAAGCTCACTAATTTGCCACCAAATCCGAAAGAAGCTCCAACCGGTCGTTCAAGCCACTTAGGAGCTTTGTTCAATGAAAATGAAGCCCCTTGAGGCTCAGTTTGAGCCTTGGTGAAAAAGTCCTCGCCATCAATTGGACCTGCAACAGGGGCTTGGGATGCGGTAGGGTTTGTGTTTTGTAAGGTCTGGATAGCTATCTTTCCATCAAAGGACGCAGTGGCAGATAATGCGGGGTTGTGTGGATTGAATCTAGTCTGGAAGGTCCAATTGGTGACTTCAGGAAATTCTCCATATTGTTCCCCAGTTTGAGGGTTCCAGATTAAAGTTCTGTTATCTTTACCGCAAGATATTAGAAGATCGGCATCTTGTTGACACCAGGACAATGACAAAATCCCCTGGATATGTCCTTGTAAAGTACGCTCCGGCGCATTTGAGTTTCTGAGATCCCACAAAAGGATGACCGGTGTAGAATCGTCAGGTGTAGCAGTCAAAAGCTTTGTCGCATTATTTGGATCCCATGCAATCGCTCCTACTGCTTTTCGGTTGTTGCTCAATTGTAGAGAGGCCTTCTTTGTCTTCAAATCCCAGACGGTAACATATCCTCCGCTTCCACCAGTTGCCAAAATATGGGGAACTTTTCTATTCCATGCAACACATTCGAGGTCATCCGATCGTGCGGCAGCTGTGCCTAATCTAAATGGATTGGAGATATCGTTTACGTCGTAGATGAACAGCTCGCCCTTGGAGCCAGCAGTAGCTAGGATTTGTGGTTTCAATGGGTTAAATTGAAGAGACTTGATAGCACCCGTATGTTTCGTCGTCCTAGACATGAAAGCATCCTCAGCTCCTTGTATAAGTTTCTCTGCATCCCACAAGTCCAACGATCCATTCTCAAGTGCGCCTGCGATTATGCCCCGCGGATGGTCTGCGTTTGCTGGTGCCCATGCAATGTCGTGAAATCTAATGGAACAGTTAGCCTTTCTAAAGTCCCCAAGCTCGATACAAACAATCCATCGACGTACCTGGAGTCTGTGCTAATGCTAGCAATAGGTTGTAGTTCTACACCTTGCTCGTCGTTATCCAAGCTTAAATCCCAAAGCTCCAGCTTCGTCTCATCAGAGAAATCCGCATCAACAGCCCCAGCCCTGGTACCCGTGACAACCAAAGGCGTCTCTGGACCTGGTGACCAGGCGAAAGCCGCAGTTCTGGGAATTTCCCTTAGACGGACCATTGTCTCGTCTTTATTTGTAGAATTAACAAGCCAGATTACACTGCGGAAAGTTTGCCGCTGTGTGTCTTTTCAGCCGATTTTATTGCTACACCGGTAGAGACAAATGGAAAAGACTCGTGGATTTTAAATTGTATGAGACGTGTAAAGACAGCAAAAGTTGCGATCTGTTGAATTGTTTATAGGGAGTAGTAGCACTGTGAACACCTTTCCCCATAATCGGATGGTCATAGCGAGGGATCCCGCCCGTAGGATTGTGAATCTTAGAAAACAGCTGACACGTGATTAAAAGCTCCTTCTTTCGCGATTTGTTGAATACCATTTGGGCAGTTTGGAAGTGACAAATACACCAGAGATTCCTTTAAATTAAATTCAATCTAATACTTCCCATAATCCACAAGATGACCGATCAAGCACGTTGGAAAGCTACTGTGTATGTTGGTGGTCTCTCCCACATGGTTACTACCGCAAATCTCGAAGCCGCATTTTTACCCTTTGGAGAAATAGCAGATGTCTCTATACCGTAAGTCCTCCACGCTAAATTTCGTGTCCTCATGCTAAGAATCTTTTAGCAAAGCAGATGGGCCCAACTCAACAGAGCCACATCGTGGTTTTGGATATGTAGAGTTTGAGGATCCAGAAGATACCAAAGATGCCATCGACAATATGGATCAATCTGAACTATTTGGAAAGGTGATTAAAGTCAATGCGGCTAAACCTCCAAAGAATGCGAATGAGGGATTGGGAAGCAAGACGGCTTTATGGGAGCAGGTAAGACTTCATGGAATCCTGCTGTGTAATGGTAGGGGGCGGCTTGGGTGGTCACTAATTTTTTGACATAGGAGGGCTGGCTAGCAGAGAATGCTGTGAGCGAGGAGGATAAACTGGCAGCTGAACAAGCAAGAGCCGGAGTTCAAGATAGACCTGACGATCCTATGCAAGGTCTAGAAGGATTGGATGTAGCTGGGCCCAAGCCGGCTTGAAAAAGGGCTATGTTACGTTCGTAGGCTACAGGTCATGAAATGTGTTACCAAGGAGTTTTTGGAGTAAAGCAAAAGGAGTTTAGGTGGCAGGAAGAAATTCACAAATGCCCTTCAATGTATAGGTTGGAGTTGGACAATGAAAAGCATGAGATATCAGGTATGGAGACTATGTATTCATGAGAAATAAGGGCCAATTCTGTACAACTCATTTGAGGTTTGGCCGATGCATCCGTTCTAATTTCTTCATTCCATTCTTGCCTCCAGCGTGTTCCACCCAGTGTCGCTTTTGATGTATGAACGTTTTCCCGACACTCAGTCTGTTTCCATCCCCCCGAAACTTTGTAGATGAATAGTTTATTCCTTTCCTCTGTTTTGTCTAGAGAGACGCATTTGCTTATCAACAACAAGTTTGCGACCCAAAGAGTAGAAAGCGAATCCGACAGCGACACCGACGACGATTCCTTCAAATTGATATCAGTGTAAATTCTGGCTGTACTCTGGCGAAGATGTAAACGTACCCAAAGGAACCAACTCGGGAGGAATCTTCTTCCATTGGCGCAATCGTTGCGAGATAGTGTGGGCTGTCGACCTTAGTGTCAGTCTCGATTCTCATCTGCTAAAAACGTATTTCCCAGTCCAGATTCTGTCCTCCCCCCCTCCAGCTCTTCGATTATCCAATCGTGGGGTGAACGTACCGCTATGCTCCTCCTTCTGTAAAGCCACAAAACATTAGCCCTCCCACCCTCAAAACCGCAAAATCGCAAATTAACAACAAGAAACTTACGGGCACAGGCGACCACATCTTCTTGGTCGGTTGGAACATTCTAGTAACGGTAGTAGGATGCATCTTGAACCGTTGTTCAATCTTCAAGTCTTTCTGATTAGAATTACACTCAACTTCCGTGGTCTGAGGTTTTGGAGGACCTGCATTTCTGCGCTAGCGAGCTCGGCCTTAGCCGACTTCATCCCGAAGTGAGAAAGTGCAGGCCCATTCCAATCAACCTCACATCATTCGTCTCGATTGAACCACCACCACCACCACCATCTCCCCCTCTAAATTCTGTAATCGCCAGAAAATAAATACGCAAATATGTCTGAAGAACGCGAGACCAAGCCCTTCAAGTTCGTTACTGGTATGTGCCACCCGGTGACCCGCCCACTGTTTGGATATTTAAAAATGGTCTGATAGATTGCTAACTGGATTTCTAAATAGCTGGTATGCAATTCCTCCGCCGCCGGGTTCTGCGAAATGACCAAAGGACTGATTGTAGGATATAGGATTCGACGCTCGATTCCCCAACCAGAACCAAACTAAACATTGCTGGCAAAACTATGTCGATTATCACAAGTGTATCCTAGCCAAGGGCGAGGATTTCGCACCATGCCGTCAAGTACGTTTCTGCGATCGATTGAGAGGGGGAAATATACTGATAGAGGGAAATAGTTCTTCTTGGCCTACAAGTCATTGTGCCCAAGTGCCTGGGTTGAGAGATGGGATGACCAACGTGGTTAGTAGTGGAACTTGAAAGGATTGGAAGGCAAGGTTTGGCTAACGTGGAATATTGTAGACAACGGAACATTCCCCACTCGATTGGATCAGTAAGGTATTTGAAGGTTCTAGAGGGTTGTATGGTGGGATAGAGCAGAAGACGTTTACAATGGATATGTATCATACAGAGTCATTATGCGAATTGATGAGAAACGAGTCGGCTTGAATAGACGTGCTTGATTCAAATTTGGTAGATAAGTTGATATCCATGAGTTATGCATTTTCAAAGTGCATTCAGGCTTCCTTCAAAGCTCTCAGTCGGTCATATCTCAACATCGCTCCAAGCAAGACTTGTGCACCATTCCCACAGTCTTCTGGACTGCAATACTCGGCTGGATTATGACTAACGCCGTCTTTACAAGGCACAAAGATCCTACTTATGGTTAGTGATATTCTGGTATTAGTGAAATGGAAGAGGATTACATTGAGGTTGGAGCATGTCTCGAAGTATAAACACTAGGTTGTGTTTAGCGTGGTCCTTCTCATCAGATTCTCATCCTTACCTATCATGTCCAGCGCCTGATACCATTCTCCTATAGCTTTCGGAGACGACTTCTGTTTGATCTCCGACACCAGAAGCTGTTCCAGCCAAATCTCCAGCACTCTCTTCTACGCATCGAATACAATCTTTGTTGAAATGAGTAGCCGGAGAATCTGTATCCATTTTCCATTCCACCAAACAGCCTTTACCTCTCTTTCCACTAGCCCCAAGAGTTGGCATCTGCTCTCCAGCAGCAATCAACTCAAAATCTCTTTTTAGTTCTTTCTCGCAGTTCAGAAGCCTTTGATCCTCCGGAGACCTGATATCAAGTGAAAACTGTACGAATCCCGGAACAGTATTAGTAGAGCCAGGCTTGAGGGTGAGAATACCTAGCATAGGTAAGCAAAGTATCGCAGTTTGTCTTGGGGGAAAGGCTTCAATACCTGTGGATGCTAGACAACCCATTTCAGCTGCCTTGTTGTGGCTATGAAGAATAATTTTTGCAGCTGTAAGCATAGCATCTGAACGATTCTCGAAATCCGTTGTACCTATAAAGCATTCTCAATTCATCATCCGTTCCACATTCACATCCTTTCAATTACAGACACGTCTCTATAACATAACGTACCAGTATGACAATCTCTTCCCCTCACTGTAATAGTATACCACCTGTAAGCCTGCACACCCGTCACAGCTCCAATCTTCGTTTTACTCATCTCGAGAATTGGACCTTGTTCAATGTGTAGTTCGAAATGTGCACCGATTGGATTATCCAGGTATGAAGTGGGAGTTGCACCGAAATATCCTATTCTTTCTAATTCTGATCCCATGGTCGCCGGCCCATTTACTTCGCACAAATCATGAGCCACTGAGAGGGGAATGTCGTGAGCCCACACGCCGGAGGATATCATGGATATGGGGAAGCGCGCTCCCTCTTCTGTGTGGGAGTTAGAGAGAAGTTCAGAGAAAGGCGTTAGAGTGATGCAGTGTACCGTTTGTCCACTGTATCCATCAAGTTAGTGTGTTATTTTATGTAGCCGCGGAATCATAGTACAACAAACATTAATAACTCCCGTAGGATATTCTGTTTCAATATCCAAATCATTCATTGTCCTCAACGCTTCAATACCTGCATGAACACCCAATATTCCATCGTATCTTCCTCCCGTCGGCTTTGACTCATTAGTCAATCATCATACAGTGTTTCCTCACGTATAGTGTATCGTTTTGGAAGTACATACCTGTGTATCTAAATGGCTCCCCGCATAGGTAGCTGGTCCATCCTTCCTTCCGGGCCGAATTGCAAAAATGTTACCTATGTTAATCACTCGTCATTACCTGTTTTTCGGGAACTTGATATCAGGAGATCACAAATAGAAGATGTAGGGGAATACAGGCATATGGAAGAATGCAATAGGGAAGGAATCTGGAAGCTCACCCATAGTGTCAATCTTCACATCACAGCCAAGCTGTTTAGTTGCTTCGACGAACCAATTTCGCGCTTGTTTGTCGGCGGAAGAGAGCGCAAGTCGGGACATTCCTCGATCGGTTTCCCCTCTGGATTGCTATCAGAATTCTGTGCATATCATGCAACATACTGTAGATTGAAAAAAATTGAAAGACACTATATGCAAATGATCACAGAGATTGATCCTGTAGCAGAACCATGTGATTTGCCCCATATGATGATCGCTTGACTTATATATGACTGCACTACAGAGATTGGAACTCATATCAAGGATGGCAAGGAGGTAGGCTGCATTGAGCAACATCTAAACATATCCAACATGCAAATTGTATTCGCTCCAGACCCAAAGACTTTCAGGAACTTTCCAATGTCATTTCTCTCTCACACATTTCATCCTTACTCCCACTTCGTCTCCCTTTCCCTTCCCTTGTATCGAAGTCTAAAGCTCAAACTCAATGAAAAATAGCCAGACATACGTTCCCCATTTCTCCCCCCGCCCCCATTGACACGTATAATGCAATTCTTTCCACAATCTCTCTTTATCAACCTTCCGCGTGATCTCCCTAATCTTTCCATCTGTTAAATCCCCTATTCTCAACGAGCCCTGGGAAAAGTTTCTAATCCAATTGAAGTTTCCGATCCTCGGGGTTGTTCTCAATGGGTTGGTTTTGATAACAGTTCTTGAATTTAATCTTGACATGTTTAGTAAGTACAGGAATTCAATTAAAATACATCGGTTTGAATGGAAGTCAAGATTGGATTGATTAATTGATGATATATTGTTATTTTATTGATGGTAATGCTTATCTGAGGGGAAGCTGTCCTTGAGCAGGTAGTTATCAGTTACCCCGCTACCAAGCATCTGCTACTGCATATGTAGGTACTCGTATGCATTATCAGGACCGTACTTACAGGACAGGTAGATAGCACAACATTTGTATCAACCTACTCAAAATATTATTTCTTACTACTCATTGGAAGAAGGATAAGAGATATCTGTATTCTCATGAACAAGCCATGATTTCATTATCATTCAATTTGTCATGCGCATCATTATCTAAGCGAAACATGAGTATGTTGCATTCATATTCGATCTATTTCCTTGTACCTCAGAAGAGTAGTTGGTCCTGGTAGAGCCAAATCTCAGTGAATGTTCAAGAGGGGGATGAACAAGAGTGAAAGGCGAAGTAGAGGAGTGTACGAAGGAGAGGAATTAGCCTGTAGATATTCACAAGTAGTCTCAGTATCAGTGGGCTAAAGATTAGTTTTGGTTCATTTGTAGTGATCACTATTTAAGTAGTCCGTGAATATCTCGCTAGAAATCAGAGTCCCAAACGCCGCGCTGTAATATCAATGCATATGAAAGTTTGAATCATTTAGCTTTCCCCTTGCCTTTTCCTTTTCCTTTTCCTTTTGCGGGAGATTTTGCAGGTGCTTTTGTAGGTGTCTTTGCTTGTGATTTGACGGGTATCCTTGATCGAACCTTGCCTTTTGTTTGAGCTGGGGCAGGGGGTGGTGTTGGCTCTTTGGCAACTTCCTCAACTTCAACCTCCTCCTCTTCTGCTTCTGCTTCTGCTTCTGCTTCCTCTTCCTCAACTTCCTTGGGTATCTCAGGCTTCTTGGCTTCGACTACATCGTCTTCATCTTCCTCTTCCTCTTCCTCGTCGTCATCACTCATAAACTCGTCATCCTCATCAAAGCCAAAGAAATTCATAGCCTTCGGCTTACCGGGTGTAGACTCAGATGGTGGAGTTGTATCGTTCGAGTCTGTACCACCCATAATCTCATCTTCTTCACTTGCGGAGCCATCGGTTCCTGAGCCACTACCTGAAGATGTTGCCAACAAATTATCCTTATAGTTCCCAGCTTTCATAGCCGCAAGAACAGCCTCACGCGTTCTCTCTCCGGCTTCCTCCTTATCCTCAACCCATTTACCATCCACCTTTCCTTTAGTACCATTCTTAATTTCCTGTTCTCTTCGCTCTGCCAATTCCACAACTTGTTCCCATCGTTTCCTTCTCTCTTCCTTATCTTTCTTTGCCATTTCTGGTTTAATTGCTAGATATTCAGCTAATGCCTTTGCTTCATTGACTGTTCTTAATCTGCGACCATCCAAATTTCGACTTGAACCGTTTTGATCGCCTTGTCCCTTCTTACGTTTTGAAGACATGCGACCTCCAGCTGCACGAAGTTGAGATCCAAAACCTCCTTTGCCACCACATAATCGCGCTGAAAGTCGTAAAGATAGAAACTCATCATCAGGATTTGATAATAAATCTGATATTGGAGAAGTTGATTCGGTAGAAAGTAACTTGTTCGAGATGGTTGTGAGAATAAGGCGACGATCTTGAGATGGAATGCGTTCGTAAAGTTTGTCTTGAAGCTCTGATATGGTGGTGGTTGTAGGTAGAGGTAGGGATAGAGTCGAAGGTAGATTCAAGCCCGGAAATGAAGTCAACAAAACGTTGACGGTTTGGGGTTGTGCTACCATGTTGTCGGGTTTTTTGTTAACGGGGTTGCTTTAATGGAATTCAAACTATTATCGCGCTTTGCGATGGTGTTGGTGGTTTTCGATAAGTTTGATATCAACATCCAAAGGATGGAAGTTCCTGAGCCGTAGAACTCCCGAGTGGCTGAGTGGCTGAGCACAAAGTCACGTGTGTTGACCTTGAATTCTGCAAAGCTTTCAGCCACACCTTCGCTTGCTAGCGCTTGAACCACACAATTCAGAATATTCGAATTTTGAATTGCTTCGATTTTTCTTACACCTCTCGACATCGACAAACTTTCAAGCAACTCGACAAACCGCCAAGATGTAAGATATTAACAATTGTCTTGATGGTATTATTTCAAAATTCAAAAAGACTAATTAATTAATTTACAGGCTTATCCCAAAGGCCGACCGCAAGTTGATTCACGAGTACTTGTTCCGTGAGGGCGTACTTGTCGCAAAGAAGGAGTACGAAAACAAGCACCCAGATATCGACACCCGTAACCTCTATGTTGTCAAGGCTTGTCAATCTTTGACCTCCCGTGGATATGTCAAGACTCAATTCTCTTGGCAATACTACTACTACACCCTCACCCCAGAGGGTCTCGACTACCTCCGCGAATGGCTCCATCTCCCCGCTGAGATTGTCCCATCTACCCACATCAAGGTCCAAAGATCCCACGCTCCTCCTCGTGGAATGATGGGAGGCGAAGAGCGCGAGCGCAAGCCTTTCGGTGGCCGCGGTGGACGTGGTGGTGGAGAGCGTGGTGACCGCGGTGACTACCGCAGACGTGAGGGTGGTGAGAGCAAGGAAGGTGCCGCCCCAGGAGAGTTCAACCCTACATTGTAAGTTTCACGCATCTATCAAATTTGGTTGATTAATGCTAACACTTTCTTCCACAGCCGTGGTGGTGCTGGACGTGGACGTGGAGCTGCCCCACCTTCGTAGATTTATTCTACAATTTCTTTACGCTTGCTCAATGCATCCGACAGGAATTCCTCATAAACACTTGTATGGTTGGACGACTGGACAGTAGCGCGTTAGGTCGAGTGAAAGTAATCGCCGGGGGAGCATAGGTCGAAGGTGGAAGTTGACACTTCAAAACTGTCAGGTAGCATAATGAGCTTCTTCCAATACCCCTTCAATTTATTATGACGTGAAAACACGATACTCCCTCACACATCCTGCGACTTATTCTCTGCTTTTCTTTTCATGACTGTTTGATTTATTTGACTTCTCGTATGAAATTGATAATTTGGTGAAGTTGACATTGTGTTACTATGAACTGATCTTGATATTAATGCACACGTTAAACTTTTTACCTAATGATCCCAAACGAAACGCAGCGGCCCGGACACATTCTATGCCACATATCACTCGGGTCTTTCGGCCATGGAAGATGAAGGAAAGGTCAAGGGAGATCAAAGATTCAAGATTCAAGATTTCAAATGGAAGCTCGAAACTTATCAACATGTGGTCAGACCAGGCAGGTCATGCTCGTTCATGTAATTATTTCAAAAAGTGTTTCGTTGTTCATACAGATGGAAGGTCGGCCTATGAAGTACTAGAAACCGAAAAAAGCAACCCCACCAATATCCCCGCGACCTTTTCCGATTTTTGACCCACCTAGAGCAACAATCTGTAGTTGATATCGTCATCGTACTTCTGCTCGGTCTTACTCTTTATTTTGATGTCCATTTCTGACCATGATATATTCGGAATTTGGATGTTGATATCGATCTTCTGGTGTTCCGTCGATGAGTGAAAGAGTTTTGTGGTGGAGATGGGCTAGAATATCAAACAGTCCAAATCCATAAAAATATCGACGATGTATGTAAAAATGTTGGTGACTCGCGAGAAACGTGGGGTTGCACGATTATTTTTTGATCCTCACATCCTATTGCCTTTCGTGGCGTTTAGATGGCTTGACAAAGCTTGAGGAATGGATGTCCGATTGGTGCTTGATGCCTTGGTAACGCGCTTTTCCTTGTCGGGTTTTGTAGAGGAGGGGTGGGTGAGTAGAATCTGGAGGATGTATATTGTTTTTCTGTTGACGATGTGCGGTGCATCTTTTTATGTTTGATGCTTCTCGATCATTCTCTGAATCCTTAAGAACCGAGGAGAATTAAATGTATCTTGTATTCTGCGGAATGCCTTTCGATGATTGATATCAGACCTCGCCGTAGCTATACCTCATCAATCAGCGGTAACAGCAGTAAGAACAAGTCAGTCGTAACGCCGTCTAGTCCGAACTCATCATGTCGTAGCTACCTAGCATTATTAGGTACATATGGCTTGCGCAGTGCCTTTCAACTCGCACCAACTCATACCTTAAACTTTGTTATGGAGCCAATTGCAAGGAACCGCTCCCACGAACCACTCAGCTAGTCACTCCATGATCCAAGTAAGATTGATGGAAACATTTCCAGATGATTCAATGGCGGGGCATCCAACAACAACAGGATCATAATCATTTCATGCTAGGTACCCCACCCCACCATGACAAGGGGGGTTGGCTGTCCCTCCCTCTTTCCATATCTTGCGTAGCTTCATTACTATAAGAAAGCCAATCTTCTTCTCTCTCGTCTTGCTTTTCTTCTTCATACCATTTGAAAAATAATACCCTCAACAACCTGCCTTCAAAAGATACCCTACTTTAACTCTTTAATTGTTGAACTTTCTTCAAAAGAATCAAAAGATCATACCAGCCGATATGTCTCTCCCAACTTCCATGAAAGCTTTGAGGTATGTATACTGTTCTTGTTTCGGTGAGGGGGTTTGGGGTGGCATCGTGTTAGAAGTATGAGTGTATCCAGCAGATGTTTGATGATTTCAAATTGTTTGCACGGCTAGTATCGATTGAATGATTCAAACCATTCAATGATTGAAGCTGTTTGACAGATTGAAGTATTTCGAGAAATCGAGAGCGTTTGATACACTAGAACCAAACACATTTCTATCCTTTCACCACTTGAGAAGGCACATCAATTAGGAGATTGAAGCTGACTCGATTCGATTGATAATAGATACTCCAAGCCAGAAGAATACGGAATCGTTGAGGTTCCTCTCCCAAAGCTCCGTGATAACGATGTCTTGGTAAAGGTCAAGGCCTGTGGTGTTTGCGGAACCGATTTGCACATCCACGAGGGAGAATTCATTGCAAAGGTAAGAGAGAAAGACTTCGCGTTTATATATGTGAATTAGAAAGGGGTGATGTGATATCTTCCCCACCATGACGTTTTATTTGTTAAGACGAGTATGCGGGTTGAGAATACACACCTGGATGGGTACCTACACCTAGGTACCTTGAGAGGTCTACGTGCTTTAAGCTAAACATATTGGGATGAGTTTATATATCTTATAAGAACCAAAAGCTAATGTGACGTTATTTATAGTTCCCTCTTATTCCTGGTATGAAATACCTTCCTCCATTTCTTCGTCGATTCCTTGCTTTGAATATCCGATTTTCTTTGGCTGGTAAAGACAGTTGCATATCTTGGCGAGTGCAATGATACATGACATATTTGGTTGGGGATGGGAACACAAACTTTCTCTCCAGTCATCCTCTAGTGGAGGATTGGTCATCTGCAGACTAGTCCCCAGGATACAACCAGTGTGGACATATCGAAAGAATTTCCACTTTGGTTCCTACCTCATAATGTCACATTCCATCAAGACTTTGATCAAGCATCTAACATTGGGATCTAATAGGACATGAAACTGTCGGTGTTATTGCTGCTACTGGACCTAAGGTCAAGGGCTTCAATGTTGGTGACAGAGTTGTAGCTGAGTGAGTACTTTTCAAACATATATGTGTGTTCAATTTACTAATCTATTTACAGTAACTCCGAACTCTGCGAGGAGTGCTTCTACTGCCGTCGTGGTCAACTCTTGTTGTGCGAGAACTTCAACGCTCATGGTGTTACTATGGGTAAGCTAAATACAAATTCCAACTAGATATCAAAGCTAATTCAATTTAGATGGTGGTTTCGCAGAGTACTGTGCTTACCCAGCCGCTAAGGTTTTCAAGATCGAGAACCTCTCAGATGTTGATGCTACCCTCCTCGAGCCAGCCTCATGTGCTGCTCACGGTCTTGAGAAGATTGCACCAAAGATGGGTTCATCCGTTCTCATGTTCGGTGCTGGACCAACTGGTCTCGTTCTCGCTCAATTGCTCAGACAAAATGGTGGATGCAAGGTTGTCCTCGCCGCTCCAGGTGGTCTTAAGATGGATCTCGCAAAGAAGCTTGATGCCGCTGATATCTACATCGAACTTTCCCGTGATAACCCAGAAGCTCAATTCCAACAGATCAAGGATGAGTACAAATACGGTTTCGACATCGTTGTTGAAGCTACCGGAAGCGCTAAGATTCTCGAGGATGCTATCAACTACGTTCGTCGTGGTGGTAAGCTCGTAGTCTATGGTGTCTACAACAGCTCTGCTAGAGTTACCTGGCCACCATCCAAGATCTTCGGTGATGAGATCACCATTCTTGGTTCCTTCTCCGAGACTTACATGTTCCGTAAGTGTTCCTTCATCTTCTGTACACTTATTCTGTGACTAACGATATACAGCTGCTGCTATCGATTACCTCGACTCAGGCAAGGTCAAGGTTGAGGGTATTGTTAACAAGACCTTCAAGCTTGAACAATGGGGTGAAGCTTTGGAGTCTATCAAGAACAAGAGTGCTATTAAGGCAGCTATTGTTTTCGATTAGATTATGTTGGTGTGTAAAAGTGGGAGTTGAAAAAATGATACGATGTGATGTTTTGCTCAGTATTGAGAAATATTATACCTTTAAAGCGAGCCATTAGAGCTAGATTTACGATTAAATGAAAAATAATTTACTGTATGCATGTTTTCATGGCTTGTGAATTTTTCGTGTATGTTGAGGCCATCTATTTTGATTAATTATCATATCATGGAGGGTTTGCACGCGGGCACCTCAATGAAATAATTTTTCAGGTTCAACAATTGATTCGTTTGTTGATTCTAGCTGTTGAGGTGCATATCTGTGTACAAATTTGATTCATTTCCTTGATTACCATTCTCAATCTCAATCACCCTCCTCCTCTCCGTCATCATCAGCTCACTGATCTGAGAAACTTTCAGTTCCTACTATTCTCAACTCATCATTCTATCAAAATAGACCCAAAAAAACCCCAAACTAAAGTCTAGGCTTAATGATTTTATGTTTTATATGTTTTATATGTTTTATATGTTTTATATGTTTTATATGTTTTATATGTTTTATATGTTTTATATGTTTTATATGTTTTATATGTTTTATATGTTTTATATGTTTAGTCAGTCATACATACGTCTTCACTTTGAATTGAACAGGTTCCTTGGGAGTTGGAAAGTGATAGTGGTGATAACGAGTTATATCGATGTTTCGTGGCTTAAATATAGATTGGATGAACGTCTGGAGTTTTATTGAATACTTGGGGGTTCTTTGGGTTGTGAGAGGACGGAAGAATGAAATGATAAAAGAATAGAGGAGGTATGGATGGGGAAAATCAAGGGCAATGAAATAAGGGGAGGAATTTGGAGCGATTTGTTAAAAACCGAAGGGGGGAGGGGGGCCAAGGTTGATGTTATGGTCGATTGGTTGTGTGAACTATAATCTTAGAAGATTGTCAAAGTACTTTTCATCTTTCTAATCCTTCTCATTTTCACGAATCTGGAGCACACTTCTTTTGTAATCAAACTTATTAACCTATCATTAAACGCTGTTATTCTATGCTATGTTCCACTATCAAAACAAATCGTTAAGCGTAAAACCTAAACCGCTGAATCACCACTCAAACCCGTTCCCACCCTAGATTCCTTTTGAACCATCGACCTCGTCGTCGGCGCCGAACTCAGACTACCCATTCCCGCAATCTTCTCCTTGACAGAATATTGATCCATCGAAGATCTACCGATCGAAGTCGTCGACTTCGCAAATGTAAAGAAGCCCTGTCGCAATCCCAATTTGCGATCACGTTCAGCCTCTTCCTCATCAAGCTGCTCGAACAATCCAAAGTATCTCTTCGTCGCCTTCCACGCTTCGATACCTAGGACGAATACGAAAACGGCACCGAAAGCTAACGACCATTCCCATGTAATACCCACATGTTTGAAGACCGAAGTATTCAAACCCGGAATGTAGACTGCGGGGAAGACAGACAAAGCACCGATGACCACAGCCCAGAACAAGAAACGGTTCTCATACACGTCTTTGAAGAATGGGAATGAGCTTTCGGAGGTGGCGTCCAGACGAAACATGCTGCGACGGATGGATTTGAATTCCCAAGCCGAGATGAGGATTAACCACGTGAGCTCTGCGAAGACGGCCGCGCGAGCCCGGAAGACCGGTCCACAGGTTGGTCCATAGCTGCGGTTGCAATCACTGCCTAGATTTCCGTCGTTGACTCCGTAGATGATGATCACGAATGTAAGAAGTGTGCAGGCTCCCATGAGGATACCATAGACAACCATATCGACGAGAATTTGTGTGGTGAACACACCTCGCTTATTATCGTGAGGGGGGCGTCTCATCACGGTCGAACTTGCTTTTTCTTTTCCCAATCCAAAAGCGGGGAAACTGGATGTAAGCATATTGATCCAAAGAATCTGCAATGGACTCAATGGGAATACAGACTGTCTGTTAACATCTTGGAAACCGAGACCAGCAATTAACAATATCACTTCTCCCACATTGGACGAAAGGAGATGGAGTACGAATCTCTGGATATTATCAAACATGCGACGGCCTTCACGAATAGCTGATACGATACTGTTGAATTTATCATCGAGAAGCACCATCTTAGCTGCGGATTTGGCAACGTCGGAGCCGGCGATACCCATGGCGATACCGACGTCTGCTTCGGAAAGACTAGGCGCATCGTTTACCCCATCACCTGTCATCGCCATGTACAATCCTCTCCTTCTCAATGCATGGATCATACGCGTTTTAGTATCCGGTGCACAACGAGCGAGTACTAGAGGGAGAGTTGGAAGTGCGTCGATTTCTGCATTAGTGAGGTGATCAAAATCCGTAGCCTTCATAACGACAGATGCGGAAACTCCAGCAGACAATTGTCCAAGATTTCTTGGGATGATACCGATTTCCTGTGCGATAGCTTTCGCGGTAGAGGGATGATCTCCAGTGAGCATGTGAACTTTGATACCGGCTTGAGTACACTCCCTGATAGCATCTTTTGTCTCATCGCGAGGTGGATCGTAGATTCCAACCAGGCCAAGAAGTGTAAGATCTTGTTCCACTTCACCTCGTAAAGTCTCATCATTTGGATTCTTGTCTTGTGATGCAGCAGTGGTCCAAGGTTTGGCGGCTACTGCAAGGACTCGCTGGCCTTGTTCGGCAAACCTGTTCATTTGTTGAATTATCGATTCCTTTCGCTCGTCCGTCATTGTCTCATTAGTATTTCCACTTCCGACAGAAGAACAGAGATCCAAAACTCTCTCGACAGCTCCTTTGGTGAAGACTGTATGCTCTCCATCTGGTCGTTGATAGATAACAGACATTCGCTTAATGCTACTATCGAATGGAAACTCGGCAGTTTGTTTCCATCCTTTGCTTTCGAATACTCTTTTTCCAGATTCGAATCGATGAGTGAATACTTGCAGAGCAATTTCTGTTGGCTCGCCGGTCGTCTGCCACTTTTTCATCGTCTCGCCTTCTACTACTTCATGTTTAACCGTGGCAAGGTTACAAAGTGCAGCAGATTGAAGAAAACTCTCAAGTTCCGGTACAATCTCGGCTGGTTCTTCCTCTTGTTCTGACGATGGGTTCTTTCTTTCATCTCTAACCGCTTTCTCGGCTGGAATATCAAATTTTAGAGCAGCAGCACTGCGCTGAGTATCGAAATCTATTTTCGCAGTCTCGCTGGGAGAATCTGGTGTCTGTATACCTTCGGACTTGAGTGGTGCTTTGGTAACAGTACCCTCGGTAGGATTATTGGGATCCATAGAATGATTCACGGTATAGATTCCGATTTTAGGAATCCATACTTTCTTAACAATCATGGCCCCTTGGGTAAGTGTACCGGTTTTGTCGGAGCAAATGTTTGTAACTCCTCCAAGTGCTTCGAGGGCTGATAGATCTCGGACGACAACATTAGCTTTACGCATAACGGTCATGCCAACAACCATTGTGATTGTCAAAACTCTGTATAGTGTCAGTCGTTGTATAACTTTAATGTTGCATCTCAAGTGAACAGCAGGGTGAGTGTACTTACGCGATCAAAGATTCTGGAATAATAGCAATACCAGTAGAGATAGCATAAATAGCCACCTCATCTGTGACGATGAATCGATTTACACCAAACACGACAATTGCCAGTAGGATTGCGCACCCAAAAAGGATATACGCAACCTTACTCAGCTTTCTCTGCAAAGGAGTACCTTCAGTAAGTCCCAAGAACTTTCCAACAAAATCGTAAGTACGTCTAGCAGCTCCCTTGACCGGTTGCGCTTTTCCATATTTCTTGTAATTCATCGATCTCCCTTCCTTTCGTTGTTTCTTCGTCGTCGAAGCCGCGATCTTTCCAACCTCAGTTTGCATGCCTGTAAATACAACAATTCCTCTTCCGCGGCCTTTGATAACTGTCGTGGTGGAATATGCCATATTGTTACGATCAGCAATGCCAACTTGCTCTTCTGTTGCCGCTCTCTCTTCAGTTCCAGGCACACAAATCTCATTCGAAGTAATCTTCTCAACTGGCTCAGATTCTCCCGTCAAACTCTTCTCTTCACAGGTCAGATTCATAGCTTCGAAAATGCGCAAATCGGCCGGTACCGTGTCTCCTGTTTTCAGAAGTACGATATCACCAGGGACAACTTCTGCACTGGGAACTACAATGACAGACCCATCTCTCAGCACTGAAGCCGATGGCGAAGAAAGAGCTCTTAGAGAATCCATTTTCTTCTCTGCACTGAATTCTTGGAAGAAACCAATCATAACATTTAGTACAATGACTGCAACCAAAACACCCCCTTCAATGTAATCGCCTACGCCAAAACTAAGCGCCATAGCGAATACAAGAACGAGAATCATGGCGTTTGAAATTTGTTTTATGAGGATTCTATACCAAGAGATGGAACCGCCGGTATCAAGCTCATTGGGTGGGTGTGAAGCTTGTATCGATTGGACTTTACTGGCAGTAAGACCCGTCTCGAGGTTGGTAGATAGTTGACTGGCGGCATCTTGTGGAGTGAGAAGGAAGGCGTGCGGACGGGTGGTATAGGATGTTTTCTCTTGAGATGCCATTGTTGATAATTGTATCAGGCAATGTTTGGGATGTGTGGGTATCTTAAGATGTGTATGTATGTATGTGTGTGTTGTATGTATATGAGATGTGATTAAGTATTATATTAAACAAAAGGATATAATCATCTATTCCTAATCAAGGGAATAGTAGGGAATCAAATCGTGATAATCAAGAGATAATTCTTAAGTGAATACATCCAGACCTAATGCGGGGTAACACATCCTTATATATTCCTTCCAGAAATCCCAAAGATCATTTATCTTGCTCTTTCCCACCGTATCAGCCTATGATGGACCTTCCTCCAAGTCATCAGGAAGCTACATTGGCGAAATAGCCAAGAGCCTTGAAGCCAAATTTTGGGAAACTTGTACCTATCATCGTAAGAAAGAACGACGCGATGAGCTCATTAACTCATGGCACTTTCTTAGTTCTACTCACACAATCTCTTTGTATGGATAGCATCATAAAGGTCCAAGAGCCAAGGCTTCTTGGTTTGGGCAGTCTTAGCTGGGTTTGGCTTGGTCC